TATAAGGAAGGGAATATCACACAGGACGTTAATGTTAGTGTTGATTATGTAAGTAAAACGAAAGGAATATCACACAGGACGTTAATGTTAGTGTTGATTGTGTAGGTATAACGAAAGGAATATCACACAGGACGTTAATGTTAGTGTTGATTGTGTAGGTATAACGAAAGGAATATCACACAGGACGTTAATGTAAGGAATATCACACAGGACGTTAATGTTAGTGTTGATTGTGTAGGTATAACGAAAGGAATATCACACAGGACGTTAATGTTAGTGTTGATTGTGTAGGTATAAGGAAGGGAATATCACACAGGACGTTAATGTCAGTGTTGATTGTGTAGGTATAAGGAAGGGAATATCACACAGGACGTTAATGTTAGTGTTGATTGTGTAGGTATAACGAAAGGAATATCACACAGGACGTTAATGTCAGTGTTGATTGTGTAGGTATAACGAAAGGAATATCACACAGGACGTTAATGTTAGTGTTGATTGTGTAGGTATAACGAAAGGAATATCACACAGGACGTTAATGTTAGTGTTGATTGTGTAGGTAAAACGAAGGGAATATCACACAGGACGTTAATGTTAGTGTTGATTGTGTAGGTATAACGAAAGGAATATCACACAGGACGTTAATGTTAGTGTTGATTGTGTAGGTATAAGGAAGGGAATATCACACAGGACGTTAATGTTAGTGTTGATTGTGTAGGTATAAGGAAGGGAATATCACACAGGACGTTAATGTTAGTGTTGATTGTGTAGGTAAAACGAAGGGAATATCACACAGGACGTTAATGTTAGTGTTGATTGTGTAGGTATAAGGAAGGGAATATCACACAGGACGTTAATGTTAGTGTTGATTGTGTAGGTATAAGGAAGGGAATATCACACAGGACGTTAATGTCAGTGTTGATTGTGTAGGTATAAGGAAGGGAATATCACACAGGACGTTAATGTCAGTGTTGATTGTGTAGGTAAAACGAAAGGAATATCACACAGGACGTTAATGTCAGTGTTGATTGTGTAGGTAAAACGAAAGGAATATCACACAGGACGTTAATGTAAGGAATATCACACAGGACGTCAATGTTAGTGTTGATAGTGTAGGTATAACGAAAGGATGCTTGATTAATTAAATTATTAAATTAGATTATTAAATCATGAATTGATATCTAGCTACAAAATTCTATCAAAATGATTTAGACTGTAATAGGTAACTAACCATACATTTAGAGTTGGGTCAATGCAATGATAATATTAAGCATGGTAACTAAGGAAGTTGTTCCCCTTAGTCCACAGAAAGACACATCATGTAGAAATATGGTGAAAATATATGTAGTCAAGCGCAGTAAACAATCAGTCGGTTCTGTCATTAAGTTTCATATTAGTTTAAACAATGTTTTATCAAAAATTTAACCCTTTTAAACATTTTTAAATATTATTAAGAGGATTTGGTAACAAACTGAAAGCTTATGTAAAACCATGTCCCAATTGAAGTAAATGTTATTCATTAAAAAGAATTAACCTAAAGATATATTGATGATGTGTTTCAATAAAGATCATAAAAAAACGTTTACCCTGATTGTATGCACCTTCTTTGGAAATCAAGGGCGGACAGACATCAGTCGCTTACCTCGACATACAATGAAACCAACATGGACAGATTTCTGCTAAGTTGTGTGGTATTTTGGTTTTCCATTCCTGGAAAGTTGTATTCCTTCTTCTACTACTGACGGTGTTTCCATGTCGCATTTTATTCTATGAAACAACTTTTTGATGCAGTTTTATTCATCGTTTGGCTCTACCATACCTAACATTACATTTGTATTGAAGGGTGTTGTTTTATGGAGTGTCTAATGTACATCTTCTAGATTGCGGTTGGTAGACATTGCTGATGGACTTTAAGTCCCCCGAGGTTTGCCGCAACCCGCATGCAAGATTCGAACATACCCCTTGACGTTAGCCTAAAAGTATTGGAAATATGAAATTACTAAATATTGCAGCATGGGGCTAGTGCAGATCACCTCCTTGATTTTGACACTTATTTGGATCACGTTAGTTAATCCTAAGAGACCTACTAGGCTTAAAGTTTAGGCTTTTAACATCACTGACGAGTCCTGTATGATAACAGTTGTATGATAAAATTCAGTTCATTGGTTGGCTCTGCTGTATCTAACTCTAAATGTGTAGTGTGAAAGATGATATTCTCTCGTGTCTTTGATACTATCTTCCAATAGCATTTTCGTAAAAACTGTTGACAAATGATAGATATAAAAACAAGAATTAAATGTTATGCTAGCAACCCTGATCGCATAGTAAAACATTCCATTTCCCTGTGGAGTTAGATGTTTCTGTGTTTGATAGTAAGATCGGTGGTGTCGTTGTTGTATAATTGACCCAAATTTACATAACAGGTGTCATTGACGAATCAGAAGATGTGTACCCTTCCTGAACACCTGGTCTTATCATTCTTTTACTTTTGCAAGACATGTAATTTTTTTCTGTGTGAAAAACAGTATTTTTTCGAAGGCAAGAATAATGCTAAATTGTCCTGTATTAGGTACTTTCAATTCCCATCTTGACTCATGCAGCTCTCTGTGTATGAAATCGGATACATGTACTTCATGTGACAATCCCATGTTGAATGCAAAGATGACGTAACATAATGCATTTCTCTATGAAACAAGCCTCTTTATTGGCCAATTTGATTATCACCACATAACATAAAAATGGGTTTATCTGATAATGTCATGTCTGACTGGCGAATAAAGCCGATCAGAAATTAGGAAAAAGTCTAATTTGAATGTAAAATATATGGTAATTTGGGACTGAATAATAAAGATCAGCTTAATTTGCATGAAGCTGGACGTATTTGATGATCGTTAATTTGCCTGTTGATTCCGTTGTTACATACCTTGTTCTCATTCCTTTATGTAATTTACATGTTTAGGTGACGTAATATAATCACCAAAACACCTGTCAGGGATTATCATGGCTTTGTTACACCTGTCGTGTACTAGGCGATTGCGAATCAATATTGATAAACTTCCTGATAATGTATCTGCTATGTATCATTCTATGATAAGCCGGCACTGACGTCAAGTCGATCAACCTGTCCCTGCAGTAATTAATAGTTGATCAGTGAGTCAGTTTAAATTATACTATTCCCCAATGGATTCTGCATATTTGAGTTATTTGTCAACAAGTTGTAAAACTGAGCCCAGCCTTCACGTTTACTGAAGTCGAGCTATAACAAAATGAGTATTCCACCTTTATATGTTGTGACCTCTATTCAGTGAAGATTAATTCAGTCCCTAGACCAAATTACATGAAATACCTGATTTTTCTTTAATCCACTTGATCCCGTGGAAAACCCTAGATCAAGATAAGTACATATTGTCTTGGCATACGGCAAGTTCTGGTGAGCATCCTCTGACGTAAACTGCTAAATTAGCTAATTATATCCGCTAAATGTCAAAACAAGTCATTCGTTTATAAATTTTCAATATCAACACAGAAATAAATGTTAGGAAAATATAAGAAATATTCACTATAACTAGATTGATGACGGTAAAGTAACATGTCTTGGGTATAATGTTAGTGGTCATATTCACCCTCCATGTCATTTAGTTTGGAATAATCGAACATCTTATGAGAGCGTACCACAAAGGTCCTATGTCAAACTAATCTTCTTTTATACTTATGTTTAACGTGTTTATACATCTATTTCAACCAGACGCAGTTATATACAGAAACGCAAAAGAAACGCAATTTTTAGATAACACCGGTATGTTTAATGTTGCATTCAAATGTTTAGTTTAAGAAATATAACATACTGAAGATGGTCATCACTTTTGATAATTTACTTAAGCGAAACCATGCTGTTTAATATTAACTAGACAGGGATGCATTTTATTCTAGTCTAAGGTCATTACATAGGTCCTTAAAGATAAAATTACATAAAGAATACAATCAGTATTGTTTTAAAAAATGTGCAAATTAACCACGCCGACTGGTCCTGGTTAGTCCGACATAAGGGCCCCATGTCCTCTAACTTAACTGATGTAGTTAACCACAGACAAAATATATGATATTCTGTAGGTAAATCATCATAATTCACTACCATCTTCATGCTGAGCTAGGATCAGGATACCATTAAAGGAGATCTAAAAGCGTTATATCATACAGACAACCCATGTCTACATTTACCAAGCGATAAAACATCAATTGTTACAGTAAGTTATTCGACATAGCTTATGTTAATGAATTTTATATCAAAGCATTACCTTCAACTACATGCAATTAATGCTTATATTTTAGTTGTCTTCATGATGTTTGAGCTTTTCAATAATAACATGAATTATTTTCTCCCTCACATTATTGGACGGTGAATAACTAAGTGTAGTCAGGTTAGTACCATAGGACATGACAAAATATGATTAAGGTCGTGCCAAGAAAACGAAACAGCTGTATGAAGCCGTTTGATGTATTGTTTGGTTTTATTTATCTTACTCTAAATTTGTATCTAAAAGGGCTCCTCGCCTTTGTGTCTTTTATACAATCTTTGACGATAATTGAAGAAAGTCACAAGCTTTAAACCTCAGGTACCTTTACCACGTAATATCATACAAACACTATCTACACCATCAACAAATCTAAAAATTAACAATGTGATATGATGTATGTACATATGCATAATAAAATCACTTTTTACAACATAAATAAATAACATGATAAATTACTGTTGTCAATACAATTATCTACGTGTGTACATATGAATATTTTTCAAATTCAATGTTGCGGCTTTCTGTCAGTTATTGGAAGTTTTCAAAAAGTCCGAAAAAGTTCCTTCTGTTTCTGTATCCAAGACGAAGATTTTCATTCGTTTCATCTTTATGACTGTCCGACTGGCGTGCCATACCCTGTGCAGTGAGGTTAATACATCACAATTATATTCAATTTTTACGACTTCAAATCATGTAGCAAATTTTTTCTCATAAATGACATGAAGATCGTCCCTGTTGTTCGTTTTGTGATTCTGAAACTGCCTCACTTATCGGTCTGAAATCTTTCGGTTGTCGTCTAACTGGATTACAGGGGCAACCGGAAGTCCTTTTCAAGTCACGTGTGTCATGAGTTTCACGTTTTTTACGCGTTTCCGCTGTACTAGTATATGTGGCTTTCAGTTTTGAATCCGTAAAGGAACACAACATTATATACAACGATGAGATCAGATTCATAGCAAGAAAGAGGTAGACATTTCCTGTCCAGTTCGCGAAAGAAATCAGATACCAAAATGAATGGACGAGCAACATGATGAAAGATATTTTACAGTAAACACCAAATATATGTACGAACTCAACATCATCATTCTCAAAGGACATAGCATAGCTATAAATAGCCAGCACAAGACAAACTAAGAAGGTTAGTGCCAACAGTATTAGGGCAGGAAAGCTGGAGATATAAAGAGAGAGTGAATTCACAGCAGAGTAGCACGGCAGTCTCCATGGGATCCAAGGAACCGTGACATCAGGTGATTGGCTGACTGTATACCAATACGTCACTGACGCAATAGTAGATGACATGATGACGGGATAAGAGACATACGTTATTTTTAGAATATACGGATTTTGGAAATGACGATCAGTTCGCATCCTGAGTGCAATATTGAGTACACATAGTTGTAATAATGACACGGACAAAATGGAAGTGAACTGAAGTGAGGCACCTGTCATGCGACAGCTATAAGCGGATACAAAGGGAAAGGGAACACTGAGGAGCACTATATTGTATAGTGTAAGACAGACGACCAGTCCTAGTAACATATAAGACGTCAAGGTCCGAGGTTTGTAGATACAGAAAACGTACAACAAAGTCACACCTAAACACACTATTGACAGACATACTAACACCAATCCAACATGGATCTGGACGGCCTGGTCTGACGTGGAATTCTTTGCAACATTTGAAGACAGTTTGTCAATTCTTTCAAAGAATCTTTCGCTGCATAACAATGAATATTTGTCGTTATATTCAAATTCTTCCTGGCTGAAGCAAAGATCAAGATCAAATAGACAGAATGAGTTGTCGTTAACGATAGTAGTATTGTAGTCGTCATTTGAAATGTTCACCTTAGAACATAATGTGAACGATGATAACTTGACGGCCGGTATACGAGAATGACACGCTCCAAACATGCTCTCACTGCTAAAGGACGGAAGCCTAACACCTCCCTTCAGCTCCTCTCCGTTAATGAACACGGGTTCGCTTATTATTGCTGCCAATTTGTCGCGGGTCAAAAGTGAAAAATCGAAAAATATATCCTGATCTATGATAGTGGTATTATATGTTCTCACATCACTGTTAACAATCATGTCCATGACTGAAATGTCATTATACATTCCGTCAATAACAAATTCCATAGGAACTTTGATATAAATCACCCTAGACTCATTCTGTCTAGGAAAAACGTCCGCGGCTTCATGTATCGTCTTGACATAGTTTTCTACACCAGACGAACACTCAACTACCTGTAACGGAGACAAGATATCGGACAGGTAAGTTGTACTATAACCACCCAGTTTACCTGCAGCCCATGGAGAAGTGATCCATTTGTAGGAAACGTTGAAGTGTGGCGTTATAAGGAGGGTGACCGAGTATCGACGGAGACTGACGAAGTGATAGATACTTGAACACTGTCCATTTCTGTACACGAGTGGAGGGCTGCAGTAAATCTCACGACAGGATTTCTGAAATAAAAATTATCTCATATTAATTGCGATCTTCTAAATCCATAAAAAAACACACACACAAAACATGTTCACTTTAGATCATCTCAATCTTTAAAACCAAACACAAACACATAAAATATGTTCAGTTTGGATTTTCTCAACTTACAAAACCAAATACACACACAACATTATATTTTTGGCCAAATAGCGCAATGATGGATTCGCTATCCGTGATATAGAAAATATACAGTTCGGTAACAGTAAGGAAATAGAGTTTTGGTTCAAATATAATGGTAAATATATTGGTCTCGGTAAGGTACTTTATGATATATACCATGAAGCACATTTTTCAAATTAAACATCAATACATTAGATAAAACAATAGATTAGACAGGTATGGTATCTAATGCTAAGCTGGAGTTGTACAATATCTAACACTGTACACTGCAACAGGAACTAACTAAAAAGAATACTAGAATGTCAAGAATTTCGTGTTAAATTCAACACACAAAAAGAAAAAAAAAGGAAAAAAACCAATATGAAAAAGAGTGCAAAAACATAAAGAGAACGAAATCATATATAAATCAATGTGAGAATTAGAATAATCAGAATGTAACGTTGTCAAAGAGAGAACAAGAAATGTGATGATATCAAAGAGAGTACTGTCCTGTAAAATAATGTATATGATCATTTAAGGACGGCCTCTACTTGTGTGCGCGGAGGGTGCATGTGTTGAGTACGATTATGTTTTGAAAGGCTGTGCTATGTTCATGTTCAGCTAGTATTGTCACGTCGTCAAAGAGAGGATAAGGAATGCTGCATCATCAAAGAGAAAACCATCAACGTTTCGTCATTCAGCAACGCTTCGTAATCACAAAGAAGACATGCAATGCTACGTCATCAAAGAGAGGAACAGTAACGCTTCATCATTCAGCAACGCTTCGTGATCATAAAGAAGACATGCAATATTACGTCATCAAAGGGAGGACCAGAAATATTATGTTATCAAAGAGAAGAACACGATGTTACGTCATCAGGAAGAAAACCATAATACCCACAACGAATCCATATCGCGTGCATGATTCTTTGATTTTCGATATCGCACGAAAATAAAATGTTTCAAGATAAACACACATATAATGTCTCATCATGTGTAAGAGACCAATATTTCTAAAGGAAACTCAAAACATGATACTTGTAATGAACCAAACCATACCTTGATTCCATCATATCGAGTTCCGATGGGGCAAATAGACTCACTGTCGTGCTGGAACCGTAAGTCGGAGATTAAAATTGGTTCTATTGCTGCAGAGAATGTCGATATAGAGAGATTCGGGACACTGTTTGTACTTAAGGCATCTGTTCTCTCGCAAGTCTTGTATGGTTCGCTGTTGACGTTACAGATATAACAGTGTATGTTTTGGTAGATTGACCTGTACACTGACCGGTAGCTGGTACACGCTCGATCTAAGACATCATCAAATACATTCCATTGTCCAGTGACGTTACATTCAGAAATCGTTCTGGAGGTGTTGCACTTTGTCAAGGTCATGTGATTAGATGGTTCGAACAACACATTACATTGGTTGTTATGAGCAACCGTCTCCAGAAGATCTCTAATGGTTTCCGGATCTGGCACTGATTGTGAAGAGCAGTTCAAGTAGCTGGACCAGGCTACAAGATCTCGCTCTGATCGAGAATTACACTCAGCGCAGAAAATGTTTCTATATGTGACTTTATTGGTGACATCCGTTACTGGCAACACCATTGATATGTTGTACGGGTGTATCGTTTGTCCTCTAACACAAAGCTGTTCAATGGATGGGTCTTTATAGTCGGTAGGACACCGATTTATCATTAAATAACTTTCTCTACTTCTCTTTGTCTTGTCCTGGCTGTTGCTATATTGTGGGTGTAAACAAGCGAGTCTTGTATCCTTTCCTCTGTAGTCTGGACATTGCTCTAATGGCGCCGAATTTTCATCACAACTACAAGGAGTGCAGCACGAGGACGCAGACGTTATAGAGGTACTCAGTGTACACGTGCTGACACTCGGACAATACAGCATTTGCTTTTCAAGGGCAAATCTAAGATATACGTTTTTGACATGAACAACTTTGTCACGAGCCTCCTTCCTGTCGGAATAGGTGGCAAGTTTGCTGCCCACTGCCATTTTACCTGTGCCAGTACTGAGAATCATCACGGTCAAGATATACATTCCCTTGGACTGCATTATTTGAATTTTTCTTCCACTGAAATTCACGAAGAAATAACGAAACCATATTATATAAATATACATGATGTCTTCAGTAAAAATGACATTGAAAGTATGTAAAAATCTGTCGTTCATATTAAGTATAAGGATTTCAGAAGTTGGAAATCGGTACAACAGGCACTTAAGAGACACCGGAAACAGACGGCAACACACTGTGATAGTAACGGGTACTGTTACCAAGTCTCCATGACAACCTTGGAGGTTGTCGCTGGTGATCAGGAAATAACCTGTTGTATTTAGTGACTTTCATGGCAAATGAATCAATTTATTACTATACTTACACTATAGGTATGTTTTTAAAAAATAACAGATCATACTGATGAACGGCGGCCTGATACTGAAGTTATCTTGAAGGAGCTATAATGTGATCATGAGGCGATAAAAAACCAATGACACGATATGATGTAATGTCAACAAGTCCGTTAAAAATTTGTCTCAGGAAACGTTCACATATTAAAAATAGTAACAACACGTCATCTCGTGTAAACATTCATGTTTAATATCATATACTGAAAACTTTCACAGATACATTAGAGACTGTTCGATAAGTGTCAGTAACCCGATAGATCTAACGTCGTCTTCATTCTTTAGGTCGTACATGGAGTACATGGAGTCTTTGCACCAGTCACTGACCTGAGGATCAGCGATATAATCATATTTAAATAACCTAATGCAGCAATAAGTCTTAAATCATTCGCAGCTTTCTTAAAGCAGAGATTTCCTCGAAGTGACGTCATTCAATTCGTTCACATCGAATAAGTGCCCGTGAAGGGTGTTAACTCTTTTCTCTATTACAACTAGAAATGAAGCACACACTATCTATGCTTACGTATATATGTACCGGTACCCGCCATCCTCATAGACATTACCTGCACCAAATATCGGTCTACAATGTGCTATGTTATACAAGATTCACTAACGAAAACCTACCTGGTGTCGTGGTGACCGAAGCCGTCTTTTCAGTATGACCTCTGATTTACATGTGAGCTCGGATGGCAAGTAAATGAAATTCGCTCGATCTCTGGAGGATCATCAATCACATCTTCATGTTCACCTGGTGCGCGAGCTTAGCCATTATCAATGAATAATTCATGAAGTGTAATGGATTTCTGTGTATTTAATGACAACGTTATTTGAAGTAAATACTGCACGGATATGATTTTACAAATAATTCCGAGATTTTCAATATGATAAATATGAAATATTTGTAAACAATTCGCCTGGACGCCATCAACATGTTTATTGTTTGTTTCATGTGTTGACTGTTGGTGTAGGTTTGATTAACGTTTCTGTGTAATTGCTGTATGAATGTTTGATTTGGAACAAATATGTGTCCGTTGGTTTTATATCTTGTTTTATGCTAGGTTTTTCTTTAATAAACTACCTTTCCACCAAACCTACTGCACGAAAACTGGACAAAAATATCGACGTACCTCTATGATTTTAATCAAAACACAAATTCGATGAAATTCGATTTAAATTGTCTCGGCTAATGCAAAACAACAAAAAATAAATTTGTTTTGTTTTTTATTTGTTCGTTTGTTTGTTTGTTTGTTTGTTTTTCATTTTAAACAGTGGGGCCAGTGGGAGGTGTTTTAGAATCACTTTTACGGCGTACTTTGGAATTGAACAGAGATGACTGGCACCAGTCATGAACATGCATGTCAACAACTTCCAGAACGTCTGGTGACAAGAGTCAATATCTGCGGTGCCTCTTGATTACCAAGGTGTTATTCACATTTAATACACAGACACACAACAACAATACAGAGAGGTCTAACGAACAATGCACATATCTAGATCAAAACGTAAAGAAATCAATAATACAGAAATTTTACATTACTTACATAGTTTAACATGTCATAAGTATACTTGTATATTTTCCACATGTCTACTATAATCTAAAAACAGTAATTCTATTTCACAGACAAAATAAACGTTTGAACATCAAAATGTATTCTCAAGCTATAAAATAAGGAAATATATAAAATAAAAAAGAATTTTCTCCTTGTATATGTTAAATTATGATCCTGTTTATATTTGTATGTTTATATCCTGTTATAAGAAACATTTATGTCTCAGAAGTACAAATGCGCACACCACTGGTCTAGAACAATGATATACATACTTCTGGTGTATATCTTGTAATCATTTCTGTGTGATGAATGGTGATAAATGACGTACATAATGACATGTAATGATGTAGGTTGTCATATTTCTAGTAACAAAAACAAAACCTCTGAGTGATAGTCATAGATAGAATCACATACACATACTACAATTCAACGTTACGGTCAGACATACGTGCTACAACTTAATATTAGGATCAGACACACGTACTACAACTTAATGTTAGAATCAGACACACGCACTACAACTTAATGTTAGGATCAGACACACGTACTACAACTTAATATTAGGATCAGACACGCGTACTACAACTTAATGTTAGGATCAGACACGCGTACTACAATTTAATGTTAGAATCAATAATGAGATGAGTGCTGGTCAATAGTTATTTACTTTTCCCACTTTTTCCCATTATTATTTGTTCTTTCTGATTTATTCCCAATACATTTGTATTTTAGTTATCATCTTATAATAAGGATACAACTCAGATAATTTCTTTAATTTGATCTGAATATCCTTTTTATTTAGAATAACAGTCCTTTGATATAAGAAAATGTACTTTATGCGTACTTGCTTCCTCACAGTGGGAGAGGGCTAACTTTTATAGCATGGACATTCTGGCCCAAACCCCTATTATTTGGGAGAGAAAGAGCATGTAATGCACATTTAATATCATAAAACATGGTAAACTGAAAAACTGGTGGATTGTTAATTGTCTTATAATCATAAACTTAAAGAATAAAAAAAGTTGTTCCTCATAATTTAAAATTAATTAGTCTGTCAACACAAAATTTATGATTGTATGCATGCAATGCGTGAGATCGCGTGTGTGTGTGTGTGTGTGTGTGTGTGTGTGTGTGTGTGTGTGTGTGACCACCGTGTTGTCTTGAAAGAAGACTTATATAGGATGTACCATATCTGACATGTTGCATGCCAAAGGTACTCTCAAGCGCCGACACATTGTCGGGATAACCTGCTCAGGAAGGCAAGGTTTTGGAGTAACGCATTTCCAGAAGATACATACTACAAGGGGAAAACGAGAGATATGTGTGCAAGAGAAAATCCGCAGAGAGGAAGAGAAGGGATCAGGAAAGCAAGGGAAGTGGCAATGGGCTCCGAAGGCGCTTAGATAAGATGGAAGCTAACATAGAGGAAACTCACATGGTCAGACACAGAGCACCATCAACAACTGAGGATGTGGTTCCTGTTGCGGATAGTTTACCGTCTATCGTCGCCAGCAAACTTTCTTCCGTAGCGGAGAAGACAAAGTACCAGCATTGCCAAGAACGTAGGACCATGGGTCACGTGTTGTCGGCAAGCAAGACCGCTCACACAGGTTTGTCTCTGGTTAATAATAAATTCTTTTACTCAAACAGGGTAGTATATTTAGACTTGCGTCTAGTTTACAATATGGCCCGGTAAAACACATATTCACACAAGCACATTACAGACGAATACAAAACATTCACATGTTGACATGACAATACGTGATATACATAATGTATTAAATAAGATCCCTCAGTAAGTGTGGATAAGAACAGTTCATCATTCGGTTGCATAAAAAAGTAAATATCAAATAAAATATCAAAATTTTCCTGTGCATAATAGATATGATTTATGAAATAATTAAATACATATTACAAAATTAATACAGTGTTATCAAAAATTAGCCTAGAATTGACGAATACACATCATGAAGTTGGATTAAAATAGTTTTTCAGATAAAGTTTTTAAAAGAAAAAACATATTTAATAGAACGTTTGTAAAAGGTAGTTTTGCACTTAGGAATATATTATTTGTTTGAACTAAGAGAACGGGTTGTCCTGCATGAAATTTAGCTGACATAGGTAAATAAATTTTGCTTCAAATATCCAGGAACCTCATCATTGAGGATCTTATAGGTAAGAACACATTTTCTAAAAATATAAAAATCAAGTATAGGCATCCAGTTCAAATTCTTTAAAAGCAGCGAGGTTGGAGTAATGATTTCTTTTATATTTGAAATCATTCTTGCTGCTCTTTTTGGAGCTTAAAAAGCTTCTCTGTAAGTGATGTATTTGAAGGGGTTCTCCAAACAGAAAAACAATACATAAAGTGTGGTAGGACAATAGTTGTATACACTTTTTTGGACATTTCAATTGACAAATTTTCTAACAAGTTTTAGAACACCAATTTCCTTGACAGTTTCTTACATACATAATCAATATGGTCATTCCATGATAAATAATTATCAAGATAAACTCCAAGCAGTTTAGCACATCGGACAGTTCCAATGACAACATTGTCTACTTTGATACATAATGGTCTAAGTTTTGACAGCCTCTGTGAGGAACCAATTAGTATACATTGCGTTTTTATTAAGTTTAAACTCATCCTATTTTCTGCCATCCACTTACATGATAATTCCAGATCCTCACTCAGTTTACATTCAACTTCATCCATACATGAACCTTTCACACCTTGTGACGTGTCATCCGCATACATTGTAACTGATGAGTGCCGTAAACTTTTAGGATAATCATTCATATGAAATATAAAAATAATGGTCCTAAAATTGAACCTTGGGGAACGCCGATTGTTATATCTTTGCATGAGGATAGAACACCTTTGAAATACAGTTTGCTTTCTATCAGACAAATATGATTTTAAAAACATCATTGCAGGTTCCGAGACACCATAAGTTCTTAATTTGAGTAACAACACTTCATGACTTACCGTGTCAAAGGCTTTACGTAAGTCTTAGAACAAAACACCTGTTAATTTACCATCGTCAATGTTTTTTACCATTCATCTACTAACCCTGTAAGGGCAGTTTCAGTGGAATGGTGTGGTCTAAAGCCATACTGAGATTCAGTAAGTAAATCATTAGACGACAAATAATTATAGAATGAGTTGTGAACATGTCTTTCTAAAATTTTACTAACAACAGAGAGAACAGATACAGATCTATAGTTATTTACACAGGTCCTATCACCAGGTTTGAATATTGGTGTCACCTTTGCCCTTTCCACTCTGTAGGAAATGATCCCGAGTTTATTGCTTTATTAAAAATATATATTAGAGGTTCGACAATTGTTTCACTTGTTAATTTCAGCAATCTCACGGACATTCGGTCATTACCAGTAGCTTTGCCGTCACAGAACTCTTCTTACAAAGTCTTGTGTTATTAAGGGGATAAAAACTTATTTTTATTAGAACTAGACTTATCTAAATTTGGTAAATTTGAGTCAAAGTTTTTTCACAATTCCAATGCCACTATTACAAAAATAATCATGGAAAGCATTTGATATATCTACTTTCTCTGTTATGCTCTCACCATCTGTATTAAGACTTGAAGCACACATTCGCTTTGTAGGATGGCAAAAAGTCCTTGATTTTTTTTCCACATATCCTTGGCATTGTTTGGACATTGAAGCAAAGCTTCATCTACAACAAAATATAAGTAATCACGTTTTGCCTATTTATTTTTTGTTAAAACACTGTTTCTAGAAGCTTTTTATAAATTCTAGGCAGAACTTGACCGAGATGATCTTGTTCATCATGTAGATAATCACGTGTGTGCATTTCACTTAGCAAATCATCATTTATCCATAATTCAGTTTTAGCACCGACACGTTTTTCATTTAAGGGAAGATGATTGTCAATGACACTGAATAATAACTACTTAAATGAATCCCATGCATCATCTATGTTATCAAAAACCTCCATGACTGACCATGGTACTTTTTGCAGGTCAGCTTTGAGTTTATCCACATTAACTTTTTTGAAATTTCTAAGTTTGATATATACATGTTCATTATTAGTATCAACTTTGTTTAGTTTTCTAATAGCATACACGAAGTGATGATCACTCACTCCTAAAGGAATGACCCCAGCCCCTCTACAACAGGATGAATCAGAAGTATAAATATAATTAATAAGAGTGGCTGAATCTTAAGTCTCTCTAGTAGGAGATACAATCTTTTGTTGTAAGCCGTAATTTTTTCATTTGAGTTTTCAGTTTATTGTTTGTCAGTTCATCTATGCTGAAGTCACCCATAACAATCAAAGGTTGGTCGGGTGCTGATACAGATTCAGTTATCTTATCAAATCGGGGAAACCAGTCAACTTTTTCACTTAGAGGTCGGTATACGGAAACACACCAAATGCACGAAGAGTTAGTGAGTTTGATGTTCAAAACTATCACCTCCATATCATTTGGAATACTGGAATTTTCATCATCAACAGACAGTGAGTCTTCACATAGACAATGACTCCTCCACCATGTCGGTTTCTGTCTCGACGGTGTGTAGTGTATCCATGTATGGAAACATCCTGTTGATCCACATAACTATCAAGTTTACTGTCAGTTATTGCTAAAACATCAAATGACCTTTTTCTCAGTAAAATCTTAATTTGGTCCAGTTTATTTTAAAGGCCACAAGCATTTAAATGAACAAATTTCAATCCCTTCGGTAATTTTTGTCGATGAGTTTGTCATAATACATGCAAGTCATAATAACGAGAAATGTTTTCAACACATTTGTCACAAATCCAATCGAGAGTAGTGTTTATTTCCACAGAGTTAAGATTGTTAATACAGGTACTGTGGACTAAGTCTTTACACCCTCTACAGGTATATGCCGTCACGGTTGAGTGGACAGTCATATCACATATACCACACTCAGTAGTGCTGGGCTCTCCAGGGCTAGGGTTCATATTCACATCATTTGATAAGACTATGTATACTATAAGTAGGAACTTAACAGTGTTCACATTCTTACCTGTGTTCTTTAGTTTCTTATTAGAAAGACAATTCAAAAATGTTCTGCTAACTATTTCAGCTCCAAAACACTATACAGTTTTATCTGGAAGGAAAGTGCATCAGACAACTTTCGCATTCTGGAACAGTCATGGGAAATGAGACTTGGGGAACTTCGGAAATGTTAATGATTTGAACAAAATGTCAAAGTTAAAATGCAGTTCAATGATTTACATACAATTCAAATACCTTTACTGGAAAAGTCGTTTATTAAATGCGAAAGAAAACAGCTGGAAATGGTTAAAATGTCCTTGTTCAGAATCGTTGGTCACTTTTCCAGTGTTGAGTCAAATATGCAGGGTTTGAATTCTCATAAGAATCTCGGATTACTCAAACAAACCTTACGAGTATGCTCTGCAGTAGTTTGAAACGCTTGTTTTTTTACAGATCTTGATGTAAAAATAAATAACAAATCAAGATCAGAGCACATCTGTTTTCCTGTTCGCCTGATATCCGGTTTTAGGCTCGGGGATCTTCGTTACTCTCCTTCAACTTTATAATCATCGTCTCTACACAGAAGGTAAAAATAGTTTTGGCATGAAACTTTCACAGCATGAGGACCTCCATTTGTTTATCACTAACCTATTTCACGGTTACGTTTTTACAACGCAGGTTCCTGAAGATTTTCTTCATTTAACCATAATTAAAGATGTCAATACTTTAAAAAGTCTTGCTAGGTAACTTTTGACTATTTTCTTATTTACATAATTATGTTATGTGTATGTTGAAGGAAATATAAAATTTGGATTAATTTTAACAATCAGTAATAAATATGATAAAATATCAAATTGATGTTGTCTTCTTTCCGTCATTTCAGTATCATATTAACATTTTTTTAAGAATGTGCAAATTTTTTATCATTTTTTAACTCTCAATAAAACTATCAATTTAAATGATTTTCAATTATAGACTAAATGGCACAGGTAAAGTCAATTACAAACACAGGAAAAACACAGGTAAATTAATTTTAATTATACTTTAATCCTAAGAACGACAATCGTCTCCCCATGTTAATCTAAAATTTGAAAAAAAATCGGGATACAGTAGTTAGCTGGTGGACTTTCATTTCAGTTTTTTTTATTTCCAAATGCAACATGTACATAAATATTAAGAACATACATTGGTAAATATTACAATCCATTTTTGTAAGATGGCTATTTGTTTCTTGTAAGGAAGATAGTCCTTTCTTGTGTATAGCTACGATGATTTTACCGTCTTTCAATGGCTTTCAAAATGTCGCTGTATCTGGATTGATTGCTGGTTCATCATTGACTCCAGGTTAACGCCATCTTTACCTGCAGATTTGTCTATATCATCCTTTCAGCAGCTTCCTGATATATATATTTTAACTTTCATTTAATATGTGGTTGTATGAAACGAGCTATGGAAGTCTCATATTTGCGAGCCTTGACGAGCTCATTAAATATCATATGAAATGTAATGATAACAAAATTTTAAAAACTTTTTGTCATTTAAAACTGAAATCGAAGTTGTTGAAAACATTTGATGGCAGGCTTTAAAGTCCAAAGTAAGGGGGTCAAATTGAAATGGAGGCAGCCATATTTTTGCCATTTTCATGGATTACAAGACGTAACTTCTTTGCCCATGTTATGAAATCACAATCTATGTTCTGATCTGTACAGTCAAGTAAAGAATCTCTAGGATATATGTCTATACGTATAGACGTTAGAAATAGATAATATAATGACGTCATTCGCACATTTACATAATGTATGATGACGTAACAATGGGAAGCATATATACAAGAAGAGAAGAAATAACTTCACGTTTCTCTGGGAAGTGACTGTGTTCTGTAATACTTCTCCGAATAAACTTATCCTGTGATATAAAGAATATCTTCGTAATTGCGCAGTTTGGTTGATGGAATTCATGATAAGTAAATAAAGTAATAAAATAATAAAAAATATTAAACCTTGATTGTAAACAATTCAGGGAAAGTGATTATATAACACTGTTAATTAAAGAATTCCAAAAGCATGACATGAAGGTGTAGGCTTGAGGGCTGCAGGACTGGATTACCTGCCTTTGTACAATTTTCCTCCGCCAGTTCACACCAGTTGAAGTTCTTGTACGAAAACATTACTGGCTTTATTAATTTCTGGTATATGAAATAAATAAGTTCACAACATTTTGTTTGAGTTGATTTAGAAAAGGATAAGAATGAATTTCATACTATTTTAGCTGAGTATAAATGATAAAGAAGCCATTATGTCTAAAAGCAGAAAGTGCGAAACTAACGTATAATCCACTTCCGGCACTTTCATAACAGGCGCCCTTGTTGGTGTCTTGCCTGTCTGATGTAACCTGGTCCAAGCATTTAATCACGAGCGGTGTTTATTTGGAACGTCAAAATGTCCCATCGATATATGGCCGTTGGCCGTAAAGGGCATGTTCTTCTTCGAAAAGTGTTATCATTACGAAGCCCTAATAAAGAGGTAAGGTGGATGCAACTGATGTCCGTAGGGTGCGAACAAAATTCTTATATTGGCAATGTCAACCGATATTTAGACCTTAAAGCTTTCTGTGAATTTTGTATATATGTTGTTTAATAGTATGGAACACATACTGAATAAATATGTTCCAGTATTGACACTAATACGCCTCAGTCATGCTCATATACTGGTCCAGTGCAATCTACCGATTGCCGTACAGTTCACCCATAGGTGCTAGCCTTCTCTGTTAATACACTCAGACTCATAACTGGTTTTGTAACTCGATCGGAAAAGCGAAACGAACAAATATCGAGAAACTTGTGACAGTCACTATATCGTTCGAGATATATGTGAGTGGTTTGAGAGATACATACTTTTTTCTTAACCAGGAGTGACTATTGGAGCCAAAAAATCTTAACACGAACCGTTATGTAATTCGGAACTGCCATTTTGTCGAGCCATATCATAAAAAGAAGTTGACCAAGAGATATATGACTCATTTGAGAAAGAAAAGGACCAAACAATAAAACACTCGAATCAAACCCTTTAGAAAATTTGCACACCTCAACACAGATAGCCACCACTTTGGCAACATGAATGTATTTTGATTTTCATCAAATGATGATTTTATGTAATACATGTGTACTTGTGGGTCACACTAAGCTGACTCAAGCATCTTTGTGATTTAGTAATATGATCAGAAACAGAGTGTAGTTAATGTCAGATACACACGTCAATAATTTCAGGTGAGCGAATTTGAGATCATATCTTTAAATATTTTTTTCAAGAAAATACTGGTATTCACTTATCAGCTTTTAAATCAATCATATAGTATTGACACATTTGAATTCATTTATGTACTTGTTCGGTGACATTTCATCAGCATAGCATAGCTTGTGAAAAATTATTTTTAGGGATCCCAAACTAATGTGCCAATTATTTAGCAACCCTAGGGTTACTATTGCGAAAGCAAAGTGATTATTGCAATACTATCAAAGTAGTTGTATTTTACCCTTAAGCTATTGTTTTGTAACTTGGAAAAAAAGCATAGTCACTTACCATTTAAATGTATGACTAAGCTTAATATAGCAAAAGCTAAAACTAAAGAATAGAAATATTTACAGAATTCATGCAATAAAGTATATTGCACTTCGATATTTGTTACAATTTATTACATTTTCATATTATTCATTTTATACATAATCATGCTATTCTGTGATATTTGTTGTGAAACTCAAACAGTTGGACTCAAGACTATGACATATTTTGAAAATAAATTTAGTATAATTCTTATTTATTTCAAACTTGTTCTATATTTCAAAAAGTTTTTGATTAATTTAACAATCATATCATGTTTTGGTTTTGACAGTAAGACTGACACATCTCACACATACTTGCCAAAGTCTAATGGAAAATATAGGGCTACAAAAGTGAATGATAATATAGCTTATTAATATATAAAGTTGCCTGTAATTTCACAAATGAGGGTTTAATTTTGATCAGTTGTGTGACACTTTGTCATTTACTTTCACATATAACAAAAATGCTATCTTACCACTATTTTATGCCTTTCTATTGGGAATGATTTTTAAAAATTTCTGCTAAAAACCAGCAGTTATAGAAGTAACCACCTCGCCTGGTATAGTTTGTAGATTTCATTTGATCATAATGGAAACAATGTTATTCCCTATGTTATCCTGTCACAGCTCAGATTTAAAAATTCAAGTACACAGTCTGAATGAGTCGGATATTTTGACTTATCAAAAATGGAAAGGGACTCTCATGTTTTGTTAGCACGGTGTTGATAGTCCCACTTTTGAAAACTCTGCTGGATTGGCTCATGAAATTAACAACACTAATTTGTATTTTCTGAAGTCGAAATGGTGGCATTTGTAATACTGTTTGCTGGAAGATTAAAATCTGAGCTGTTTGACAGGATAAGGTAGTGAATACAAGTAAACAACAAGTAAGTTATTAGTGTGAAAGCGATGCTAAATTTTTGTTCTACCACACTGCCTTGCTGAAGGCACCCAGGACAGCCCACCCTATTGCATTATGTATACTGATCATGACATTTTATGGGTAAACCAGTTGTTACACTACCACATTGCAGACACAGACAGTAGTCACAGCATGGTTAAGGAATTGAGATTGTGACTTTTAGGCTGAGATTTAGGAAATCTGAAATACAAGGAATCTTTCACATTTGTTTTGTTGTTGAATATGGTCTTTGACACTTAGCTTGTAGATATTACAACTTTTTCTGAGTTTGATGACTACAACACCAAAGACTGGATTTGAAATTTGATCCCTGATGGGTCACCAAGCAATATGAAAACATTTCTTTTTTCACAACCAAAATTTACACCTCAACATGCTCCCTTTACAATGCAAACTAAATTTTCAACTTCTGTTTAATCTGACATGGAATTACCTCACTACTGTGGTGGTAGTTTTGCTGTTTTAAAATTTTCCTTCTTACATACTCTGTAGATCTTTCTTCACATCTGATTATTTGGTCAGAGGGCTAACTCGGTGAAAATGACTAGTATTCTAATAATTTCATTGTCATTTTCAGCAGTTGAAATGATCGGTATGGTATGCTTTAATAAAAAAGTGATATATTTCTCAATTTTAAACTTAACTTATTTACTGTTGTAGATACAAAGGGAAATAACTCTCCTGTCTAAGGTTCTACAGTCCAAGGATATGGATTCCCTGATACGACATTTCAGCTGTACAGTTCTCAGAGCATCCTCAAATTCTCCAAAAGGATTTGAAAAGTTTGACGAGCTCCTTAAAAAGAAAAGGGCAGGAAAAGGTAAATTAATGGTTTGATTTTTAATAGAGAACATGCAGCATATATGAGGACATTCAAGGTCACGGTCAGATTACAAAGTAATATTTATACAACAAGTCAAATCTTTAACAAAGATTTTCAACAAGATGTTACTTGTCTGAAGATATTAAAACACTTTTTGTGTTGCATGCAGAGCTGGCACACACTTAGGGATCAGCGTCAGCAATGTCCATACCTTTTGAGTTATCAAAATGAAATTTGGCATATGACTTTTTGCTGCAAGGGTACAGATTAAGTTTGATTCTCAACTGTCTGTGACCCTCTTTGGTAGTGTTATGCCCCTTTCAACTTAAAAAATTTCCTGGGAATATTGTTTTCTGGACTTACTTTGGTTATGCTTTAAGTTATCGAAATTAAATTTGGTATATGGCTTCTTGTTGCAAGGATACAGATATAAGTTTGATCCCTGGCTGTCTGTGACCCTTCTTGGCTGAGTTATGCCCCTTTGAATTAGAAAATTTCTCAGGAATATTGCTTTGCACAGTTTTCTCTTTATGCTTCAAGTTATAGGAATGAAATTTGGTGTTACAACTTTATGGTTGATCGTTGCACATTTAGTTCAATTTCTGGATGACAGTGACACTTTAAGCAGACAACAAATACAGTTCTGAGGAACTCTTGTTATTATAGTCCACAGTTTCAAAGTTTTCTTGCTACCATCCTAGCCAACCCTGAGTTGTACACTCCTCTTCCTTGATTCCTGTCCTATGACCTGCTCTAGAGAGACAATCTGTACCAGTTTAGATATATGTTAACTAGTGATAAAAACTGCAACATTATCTTAATGATCAATAAACATTCAATTCATCTGCTGCACTCTAACTTTAGACTTTGCCCAAAATTATAATAGCCCTGAGAATTATTGTTTATGTTAAATCTGGTGTAATACATGTAATACCTCATAAATATGTTATTATAATTATATAGTGTTTATGTAATATCTTAGTTTGTAATATATACAATATATATATACAATTAATATGATCATATGCTTTAATTTGGTGTACAACTTGAAACATGTGAGTATTGTACTATCAGTGTATTACATGTAATACCTGAGTGTGATACTATCAGTGTATTACATATAATAACTGAGTGTGATACTATCAGTGTATTACATATAATACCTGAGTGTGGTACTATCAGTATATAACATGTAATACCTGAGTGTGGTACTATCAGTGTATTACATATAATACCTGAGTGTGATACTATCAGTGTATTACATATAATACCTGAGTGTGATACTATCAGTGTATTACATATAATAACTGAGTGTGATACTATCAGTGTATTACATATAATAACTGAGTGTGGTACTATCAGTATATAACATGTAATACCTGAGTGTGGTACTATCAGTGTATAACATATAATAAGTGAGTGTGGTACTATCAGTGTATAACATATAATACCTGAGTGTGATACTATCAGTGTATTACATATAATAACTGAGTGTGGTACTATCAGTGTATTACATATAATACCTGAGTGTGGTACTATCAGTGTATTACATGTAATACCTGAGTGTGATACTATCAGTGTATTACATATAATACCTGAGTGTGATACTATCAGTGTATTACATATAATACTTGAGTGTGGTACTATCAGTGTATTACATATAATACCTGAGTGTGATACTATCAGTGTATTACATATAATACCTGAGTGTGATACTATCAGTGTATTACATATAATACCTGAGTATGGTACTATCAGTGTATTACATATAATACCTGAGTGTGGTACTATCAGTGTATTACATATAATACCTGAGTGTGGTACTATCAGTGTATTACATATAATACCTGAGTGTGGTACTATCAGTGTATTACATATAATAACTGAGTGTGGTACTATCAGTGTATAACATGTAATACCTGAGTGTGGTACTATCAGTATATAACATGTAATACCTGAGTGTGGTACTATCAGTGTATTACATATAATACCTGAGTGTGGTACTATCAGTATATAACATGTAATACCTGAGTGTGGTACTATCAGTGTATTACATATAATAACTGAGTGTGGTACTATCAGTGTATTACATATAATACCTGAGTGTGGTACTATCAGTGTATTACATATAATACCTGAGTGTGGTACTATCAGTGTATTACATATAATACCTGAGTGTGGTACTATCAGTGTATTACATATAATACCTGAGTGTGATACTATCAGTATATAACATGTAATACCTTATTATTTGGGGGAGCATATAGTTACCACCTTGTCAGTCGTCTTTCTGGGAGAACATATAGTCATTGTTTTGTCCATCAGTCTGTCCTTTCATGATCAGAGTCATTACTTTGACAAGAGTTAAGCAGGGATCATGAAACTTGGTGTATACATTGGTCAAACAAAGATGATGTGCAGTGTACCAAATTCAGGACCTGCAATTCTTTGATTACAGAGTTTTTCCCCTTTATCAATTTTTTTGACTAGGACTCAACTTTGGATTGCTTGCATTTAAACAAGGATAATGAAACTTGGTGGATATATTGATCATATTAAGACAATGCTTATTGTATTAAACTCGGGGCTTTTGACCCTTCAATTATAGTAGGAAACAGGCGTATACATTGATCATACAAAGACAATGTACATTGTACCAATATAAGGTCAGACAACCTCTTAATTACAGAGTTATTGCCCTTCTTTTAAAATTTCTTGTTCAGGACATAAATTTGCTAGCATTTAAAGCTGGATATGGAACTTATTGTAAACATAGATCACATGAAAGCAATGTGTATGTATTGTAATAATGTTAGGTTCCGCAATCCCATAATCAAAGAGTAATTGTCATTTATTAAAATTTTGTGTCAGGAGATTGAAACGTGATATATACATCAGTTATACAAATGCAAGGGGCAGTGTAGCAAAGTCTGGGCCATGACCCCTCCGTACAGAGTTATTGCCCTTTGTTAAACTTTTGTGTCATGAGCATAACTTTACTTGCATTAAAACTAGGATCATGAAACTTGGTGTATACATTGGTCATATTAGGAGAAAGTGCAGTATACCAGGGCCTGCGACCCCTTAATTACAGAAGTATGGCCCTTTGTGGAAATCTTGTCATTTACAGGAAGCATTCATTGGTTTCACTAATACTCTTATTTGATCATTGTATTACGTACACCAATTTATAGAATTCTTTACCTCCTTCCTGAATCCACTGATTCGTTTTCAAATAAATGTGTTTTGGACCAATTTAGTCTTTACCACCTTAATTACATTTTGTATATTCTTCTTTGCCGTGTAGAGTAAAAATATTGTGTATTATACTCATTGAATATCTAATTTCTGTTTCATTCATACTTATAGTGAATTTGTATTGTTGTAGCATTGATCTTCTAAACTAGATTATATTTTTGTGATAATATTAATGGCATCTTAAAAAGGAAACTCATACCTTAAAAGTCTTATTGAATCAGAATAAATTTTTTTTTTAACCTTTTTTAATATTCTAATTATTTTTATTTCAGAGCCAAAGAAAGAAGCAAACAGTCAACAAGAAGAGAAGATGAAGGATCCACTTCAGGAAAAGCTTAAAAATGAAAAACCTAAGGAAGAAGAAAATGAACCGAAATGGGGACCTCCGAACGACCCATGGCAGGACATGAAAACAGCCTTTAAGAATGCAACTGATAATTTTGAAAAGCAATCAGGACAATCAGGAGATCAGTGAGTAAATGCTATCACATATATATACATGTACATGTGTATAACACTTCTGGACTTTCTAGACTATGTAATAACAAATAGATTACTTACTATAGTTGCTATCTGAAGATTTTTATGCATTTTAAAGGTTTTTCTTGCTTATTGGTAAGGATATTGAAATTATGTACTGCTCTTATATAGGAGTGATTTTTGTAGGTTTTCTCAGACAAGTCCAGTCACAATCATCTTAAATTTTGAAGAAAAAATGTCAAATTCCTGTTCTGAAAGAAAAACTACAAAAAAATTATGCTGGTACATGTAATATTATGTTCCTGCAACTTGAATAATAAATTTTACAATGAATGTTGTTTGTTAATTAGTTTACCAACAGTTTTCCTACAATCTTAAATCTGTTTTTGATTAACTTACCAAGATATGTATTCTTGATTTAACATTTTTACCAATCTGACTGAATTTTCTGAAATTGGTGTGGCAGTTGATTATGTCCTAAAAAATTAATTCTATCTCTTTTGATTTATCAGAAAAGATCTGAGGAATGCAGCAGTGATCTTTAGTGTGGTCGCCTTTGCTGCCTTGTTGGTTATGACGGGGCAGCAGAACAAAGAAATCTCCTACAAGGAATTTGTCAATGATTTCCTCAAAAAAGGAATGGTAAGGATATTGAGACTATGTACTGCTCTTGTATAGGAGTGATTTTTGTAGGTTTTCTCAGACAAGTCCAGTCCCATTACACCAGAGAGAGAAATTTCATGGCCCAGGGGTCCCGCAATTCTCCTTGGGAAGGGGGCAAAGTTGACTATAGTTAGGAAAAGCACGTTTTTGAGCATAATTTGTTTAATTTCTATTAGAAATATTTAAAAGTTAGTTACAATTATGAGTAAAGGATGATGGCTTGTTTGTATGGAAATATTGATCCAGTCTGACACCCCTCTCTCAGGGGCTAATTGGTAGGGTCAAAAGGGATAAAATTGATTCAAATTTCAAAATCTTCTTCTAGACACCCTGATATTGTAGGATTTAATGCTCTTCATGGATGTATGTGTCTTTAGATGCTTAACCATGTAAGTGTGAATTTCAAGGTCCTGGTGAATCACGTTTTCCCACGGGGAGGGGATAGATTTACTATAGTTTACATGCTTTAAATGTAAATCAAAGGTCAAAGTTTTCAGATATCTTCTTTTTCATTTCATTAACTACTCTATGTAAATGATTTGTTTATAAGGTAAATTTATCCTTGTTATTTATGATAAATGTCTGATAGCAAAAGATATACAATGGAGACGATAAGACTAAACACATGGTGGGATTATTTAGCAGATGCTAGTTAATTTCCAAACAAACCATCTTGACTCTTTTGAAATTTGATAAAAATACTCAAAATGATTGTATTTGTTTGATCAGGTGGAAAGCCTAACTGTTGTTAACAAACAAGTAGTGACAGTCAATTTCAAACCAGGAGTGGTAAGTAGATGACATTGAGATTAACATTTAACTTGATACATAACAGAAATTTTGGAATGGATGCTACGAAAATTGTACAATTCAATGTTTTGATATTCCTCTTTTATAATTACGGTAAAATTAAAGAACAGATTCAAGTAAGAAATATTACATGAGCAACACTATGAGAGTATACATATACTTTCAGCTAGTCCACGTTCCTCAGTCCTGAAGACTGATTCATGAATGAGCAAGAAGCATGTGTGACTTTAGTATCCTCAGATTTTAGTATATTGATAAGACTTAAGGCATCCAATTTACTGGTATTCAATTATAACTTGTGTATGTGATAGATGTTCTAATATGTTGGTTTAGAGAACACTGGAAATTGAAGTATTCTTCATGCTGCATGCTGTGATCAAATGCTTTTGAAAGTATTTATAAAATCTTGTCTAAAAGTCAGCTTCTGGTTCTCGATAGAGGTCAATTTGAAAATTGCTAATTTCGAGTAACAAACTTTAAAAAACTTCAGGTCAATTTGGAGAAGCTCTAGAGTCTTTTTATTTCATATTTAGAAAGCTCTGATCATTTGCTGTCAAGTTTGATAATATAAATACCCTTGACCCTCTTTCAAGATATGTCAAAATCTTTAAATGGTATTTTCTCAATAACTTTGAAGCACAATGTGATGAAATTATGTTATTAGCATAATGTAATAAATTGCTATTGAATGTATTAATAAAATTCAACTTTGGGTTCTCGACAGGGGTCGAAGTTAAAAATTGAAAAACTTCTTTTCTTGAACACAAAATTGAGAATTTCAATATTTTGCAAGATGTCTTAGTTGTAAGCTATCAGGTTTGAAAAAAAAGAATGACCTTGACCTGCCTTCCATGTCACAGGGGTCAGTTTTGTTTAAATATTGTAATGGCTTCTTTTCAGTTGCCAAGAGGTACGGGGTGATGATATTTGGTCATTTTCATATTGCACTCAGTTGCTATTGATAGTAAAAAGAAAATATTGCATCAAATGTAAACTTTCAGCTCTTAGATTTCATAAACAAATAAGTTGAAGCTGTAGAGTCTACAGTCTAGACATGTGATATAAATTGCTTGAAAGGTTGGCTATCAAGTTTGTGGAAATGATTGTCCTTTATGTCAGAGTTGAATATATGTGAAATGCTCGTAAAATTGTTTGCCAATAATTACTATTTTTTTCTCATGTTTTTACTGTTATTGAAAAATAAGGAAAAAGACCAATTCTGTTTTTATTTTAACTTTTTAGATGGAAAGGAATGTACAGTTCAGAATAGGAAGTGTTGATACATTTGAGAGAGCATTACAGACTACCCAAGAAGAATTACAGATAGATAAAGCCAACTTTTTGGATGTGACTTACAAAGAGAAATCAGAAATGAGTTTAGTCAGGTAAGATAATATTCAGTTATCTTCCCTCTGGTCATGCTGTGGTGATTTGTCCATCCAACATAGACATTTTTCCTTTAAATTACTTCAATTTGATCAAATTATTTGTCTTGGTAGCTTCCTTTGATGAAACCTGAAGAAGTTTATGAAAAGAAATGACAAGGTCACAGGGGTCAATTTTCCATAAAACACTCACTTCCTGTGATCAAGCAAAAGAGCTATAATCATGATGTTCAGCTAATAGGTTCCTTTAGAAAATAAATGACTCTTATTAAATGTGATATTGTCTGAGATGGATAAAAGTGTTTCAATCACTGGAACGACTTATTCTGTTTAACCCAAATTAGAATTATGATATATCGCTCGAAGGTTCCTTGGATGAAGTCAAACAAAGTTTAACCTTTAAAATGACATTGACCCATATTCAAGTCCACATTAGTTAAAATGTTCATATATATGACTTCTGATTTACAGAAAGGCCTAGCATCATGATATTCGGCTTACAGATTTTAAGATTAGAATCAAGGGTCTTAGCAGTTAAAATGCTCAAATGACTTAGTTGAATGATCATAATCTATGATTTATAACATGAGATACACTTTTCCGATATAATTTAGGACAGAAAACATCAGTAAAGAAAGAACAGATTTGTATTGATACGTTTTATCTCTAACTAGTTTGTGTAAATTTATTTCCATTTCTTTTTTTCAGCGTTCTAATGGGCGTGTACTTCTTAATGTTGATTGGAGGAACTATTTATATGATGCGTGTAAGTACACCTCCAGTGAAAAAGTATGGAATAATGGGTCGTTATACAAATAGTTTAAAATCATCTCCAGGACATGTCTTAGATATTAAGGACATCAAACATTATGATGGAATAGAAATGAAGTAAGGCCTTTCTTGTTTAAGATAAGTGATCATTGTATTTTCCTAATAAAAAGAAATATATTTCAATGCCGCAGAACTTAATTCATAAGAGATCTGTAAAGTTTGAAGCCCTTGAGTCTGTATACAAACAATGTCTACACACAGAAGGCTGTCTTTCGTCCCAGTGAGCACAAACATCCATAAAGTTAAACATAGTTCACAGCACATATATACTCTATACAAGCATCACAACATAATCTTTCTCTTATTCCATTTACTTAACATATACATCCTTCATCTTGAGTTTGATAAAAAATAATAAATACATATATTTGACTGAAAAAGTAGAAATTCTGAATTTAACAATGCATTACTTCCTGAACGTAATTTTTGCCAATATAATTGCATGTTACATGGTGGAAAATCACTTACAAACCCTGTAGTGTTTAATGGAAGACTTTGAAGCCAGTTTTTTTGCAGTATGATAACTTCTATCTCTGAATAGCTAGTGTTAGCTCTGACAGCTTAATGAGTGCAATATACAGTAAAACCTGGCAATCTGACACTCACAGTAAACATCATGGTCAGATTTCTGAGGGTGTCAGATTTCTCAGTGATTGTAAAAAGCAATGACCAGTGAACACTAACTATTATAATCAACAAGCACACTTCATTTTCACACATTTACAGCTTAATTCATTTTTTGTTTACACAACTGCAGTAATGACACATCTTGGAATTTGGAAGTGACAATGACCAGACTTTCATGCTGTAGTCTGATTAAAGTTAGTTTTGAAAGTTCAGATAGTAGGGTATAATCCATGAATATTTCTTAAATTTGATGGACTTTCATTGTATTTGTCTTTTGACATCACATCTTAAGGTGGACTTTTTTTTACAGAGATCTGGAATGGGAGGGAAAGGAGGTGTTGGGGGACCATTTGGATATGGAAAATCCACAGCTAAGGTCTTCAAGCCAAACTCAAATGTTGTAGTTAGATTCAGGTCAGTATAAAATGAAGTATGAGAATGGGCCCTGTAAACCTTTTTAATGTAAAAGATGAAAATTAAAGTGTTTATTTCAAGTTACCCTTTGTAGTACTATAAACTGCAAAGTTTGAAAGAAATCTGTGTGTAGATGATGTATATGGGAATGTTAAATTAACTGGAACAGTATGGCAACTTAATAAAAAACTTATTAAGATAAGGCAATGATTAGCACAAGATCCCAATTGGGATCTCCTTCTCCATTAATTCAGAACTCAGTCTTAAAACATTTCTGGGTGGTTTTTGCATTTGTATTAGTGTTACATTGTATTGCAGCAGTAAAACAACCTTATTAGTTGATGTAACATCTTGAATAGTGTATTCAGTATATGTGTAGCATATTTATGAATATTGTGATTCTGTACTTAGTGATGTGGCTGGATGTGAAGAGGCAAAATTAGAAATCATGGAATTTGTAAACTTCCTCAAGAACAAGGATCAATACCTTAAACTTGGTGCCAAAATCCCTAAGGGAGCCATGCTTACTGGACCTCCAGGAACAGGAAAAACACTTCTGGCTAAGGCAACAGCTGGAGAGGCAAATGTCCCCTTCATCTCTGTGTCTGGATCAGAGTTCTTGGAAATGTTTGTCGGAGTTGGTCCTGCTCGGGTAATTGTCACTTAAAAAGACCACACTAATTGATAATTTGGCTATCTGATTATAAATTTATATTTGGAGAGGTGCTATTATTTTTTTATGTCATTTTTTATAATGCTGAATTTCTGAAATATTAGTTAGAAAAGGAGATATGGTCACATTAATATTGAAGATGGAAAATTGCATCCTTTGTGTCATGAAACGAGTATTTTGAATCCCTACGAAAGCCTAAGATAAGTGTTTCAATAAAAATTCAAATCTGTTATTGAAATCTGACATGTACAGAATACAGCGGAATGACTTTGTAGGACACAGTATTCCATGTTTCTCATTGGAACTGATCTGGTATAACATTCAATGCTTTTTCTGGTTCTTGTGCATCAAACCTTAGATCTTTGTCTCGTAACAATTCTGTGCATTCTTAAAATTCCTTCCTTGTAATCTCTAAAGGTACGAGACATGTTCAAGGAGGCCAGAAAAAATGCACCCTGTATCCTGTTTATAGATGAGATTGATGCAGTCGGACGAAAAAGAGGCAGGTCAAATTTCGGAGGCAACAGTGAACAGGAAAATACACTCAACCAATTCCTTGTGGAACTTGACGGTATGAAATCAGACATACACACATTTTATAGAATATCACTTCATTTATAATATACTTCTAGATAGTGTGATATGAATTACTCTGTATCAGTAATGTAGAAATGTTTCCAGTTGATCTAGTTTAATATGAATATCCAAATTCTCTGAAATACTACAATTCTGGAAAAATAGGTATAAAGAAAAAATAGGTATAAAGAAAAAATAGGTATAAAGAAAAAATAGGAATCCATATTACTTTGGTTTGAACTTATGTTTCTGTAGACTTAAAGTAAATCTGTGTCAGAGAGATCGGGGGTAGGAAGTGGTGTATTGTATAATAAACTCTTGGCTTGATTAAAGTAAATCTGTGTCAGAGAGATCGGGGGTAGGAAGTGGTGGATTGTATAATAAACTCTTGGCTTGATTAAAGTAAATCTGTGTCAGAGAGATCGGGGCTAGGAAGTGGTGTATTGTATAATAAACTCTTGGCTTGATTAAAGTAAATCTGTGTCAGAGAGATCGGGGCTAGGAAGTGGTGGATTGTAAAATAAACTCTTGGCTTAATTAAAGTAAATCTGTGTCAGAGAGATCGGGGCTAGGAAGTGGTGTATTGTATAATAAACTCTTGGCTTGATTAAAGTAAATCTGTGTCAGAGAGATCGGGGCTAGGAAGTGGTGGATTGTATAATAAACTCTTGGCTTGATTAAAGTAAATCTATGTCAGAGAGTGGTAGGAAGTGGTGTAAAATAAACTCTTGGCTTAATTAAAGTAAATCTGTGTCAGAGAGATCGGGGGTAGGAAGTGGTGGATTGTAAAATAAACTCTTGGCTTAATTAAAGTAAATCTGTGTCAGAGAGATCGGGGGTAGGAAGTGGTGGATTGTAAAATAAACTCTTGGCTTAATCAAAGTAAATCTGTGTCAGAGAGATCGGGGCTAGGAAGTGGTGGATTGTATAATAAACTCTTGGCTTAATTAAAGTAAATCTGTGTCAGAGAGATCGGGGCTAGGAAGTGGTGGTTTGTATAATAAACTCTTGGCTTAATTAAAGTAAATCTGTGTCAGAGAGATCGGGGGTAGGAAGTGGTGGATTGTAAAATAAACTCTTGGCTTAATTAAAGTAAATCTGTGTCAGAGAGATCGGGGCTAGGAAGTGGTGGATTGTATAATAAACTCTTGGCTTAATTAAAGTAAATCTGTGTCAGAGAGATCGGGGGTAGGAAGTGGTGGATTGTATAATAACTTGGCTTAATTAAAGTAAATCTGTGTCAGAGAGATCGGGGGTAGGAAGTGGTGGATTGTATAATAAACTCTTGGCTTGATTAAAGTAAATCTATGTCAGAGAGATCGGGGCTAGGAAGTGGTGTATTGTATAATAAACTCTTGGCTTGATTAAAGTAAATCTGTGTCAGAGAGATCGGGGCTAGGAAGTGGTGTATTGTATAATAAACTCTTGGCTTGTGTAAAGAGTATGTATATGAGTTATGATCAACATTATATTTAATGATTAAAGCAGCAAGATAACAATATTGTAAAAATTACAGCAATGAGGTTGTCAACCAAACAATACAAACTTGCTTGCACTTTTTGTGTTTCTAAATGTAGCGATTTCCTGGTCCTGCTTTCAGGTTTCAGTTCACAGACCGGGGTAGTGGTCTTGGCTGCGACCAACCGAATAGACGTCCTAGATCCTGCCTTACTACGAGCTGGTAGATTTGACCGACAGATTTATATACCACTACCAGACATTAAGGGAAGGTGAATATCTAAGGTTTTCATACACATATAGATGTATAGATATTTGAAATGAAATCACTGCAGTATGTAAAAGAAATAAAAGTGAGCCTGCCTTTTCAGTCTGACATCTTATGATGGTTGATTTAACCAGCTTTTCAAATATTTTTTCATCCATGGTTGGTCTAACTGTTTGTCCTATAAACAGCTTCCTGTTTATGCCATTCCTGAGAAAATATAGAAAGGACCTTAGCTCCTTGAAACTTAAGGAATGTGTTCAGTATAGGTCTCAGCTGTTTATGCTATATTTTGATCTTCATAAGAATGATTGGATCATAAAGATAGTCACATTAAGCCACTCTGGAATTTACAAATACTGGTCACTGGCCTGTTCTCATCCAGTACCCATTCTCAATAATGCATGCTTTTTAAGGGATTGGCAAGTTAGGGTCACCTTAAGCCTTTTACTGCTAATTTTGCACATTGCAAGTCATAAGGTTGACAACATTTTCCGTTTAAAAAACAATTTCAAATACAATCATAAGAATTTTGAACTCCAATGATTCATTCTGAATTATATAGAAAATTTATTTAAAGGAAAAGAGAAAATATTAATCTTACTTATAAAAGATTTACTTACACTAACACAGCTGACTACTGGTAGGTGTTTGATTATTTCCTTGATACAATTTTTATCAGACATATAATATAGAGAAAATATAACTTACTGGTATTTTTTTAATTATCTTGTTTGTTTGCAGAGCAAATATATTTAAAGTTCATCTTGGAAGTATAAAAACAGAACTTGAGAAGGATGAAATGGCCAAAAAGTTGGCAGCACTTACTCCAGGTTTTTCTGGTAAGTTAAAGTAGATAATAATCTTTTAGATAATCCCGTAATTTAGGAGTGAAATATCTCATCATCACCATGCTCTACATCATGTATAAAGGTACATTATTTGAGCTGAACTGATCACGTTTCTTCTGTTTACAGGTGCTGACATTGCCAATGTTTGTAATGAATCGGCGCTTATAGCTGCTCGGGACCTCAATGAATCTGTCATGGCCAACCACTTTGAACAAGCCATAGAACGAGTAGTCGGAGGTAACACTATCAAACACTACTGTTAACAGCTGTATTACCCTTTTCAATTGTTCAAACACTGTTACACCATGTAATACATACTGTGATCAGAAAAAAAAATAGCTGAAAATTTGATTCAAAGTCGTGTAAGATAAAACTGATTGCCAGGATTGATGTACCCAATATTGTCATGATTTATTGTTTAAATTGATGTTGGAATTTTCTTTTTACTCTAAATTGTTTTTGGGTTACCATTTTCTTAATTACTGCCTCATGACACATATCTTTATCATTACCAGTACTGTTTTGGTAACAGTAATTAAGAAAAACCTACGATAAAAGTAAATCCAATTTAAGGTTTGGAAAAGAAAACACAAGTTCTACAGCCGGAGGAGAAGAAGACAGTAGCGTACCATGAAGCAGGTCATGCTATAGCTGGGTGGTTCCTGGAACATGGTGACCCCCTTCTGAAGGTACACATCAACTTTTGCTGGGAAAGGGGTGTAGAATTTTATGATGTACATTTTATTTAGTCACTTAAAGATTTCATGTGTACAATTTATACATAAAGTCATATGATAATGAACATGTATTTTTGTTAACAACCACAAAATTTGAACTCCTTAAAAATATATTACTCCAAAGTGGTAAACCTGGGTAATGAAAAAGAAAGAAAAAAGTAGGATAGGTTTCATAAATACGTCTTCTGAAACTGACTGTCTGCTGCTTAACATTGACATCTGCTGGTTTCATTGAAGGTATCCATTATACCCAGAGGAAAGGGATTAGGTTATGCTATGTACTTACCCCAGGAGCACTACCTAATGACACAGGAACAGGTGAGTCACTTACCCAGATCTTTAAACATCAATGTAGTGATTAACACCAATTTAAAGACTGAAATTAATTTTCCATCATTCCTTATTTGGCTAATGAAAACATCAATTTAAAGACTGAAATTAATTTGTCATCATTCCTTATTTGGCTAATGAAAATATTTTCTCATGGATAGATATCCCATTATACATATCAAAATGAACTTGTAGTGATCAACCTAATAGATTTCATTTTGATCAAGAAATTCTCAAAAAGTAATTGTATATAAAAGATTGTTGGTTTAATTTAGTGTTTATTATTTATAATTAAAATAATGATTACAATATGTCTAGATTTGTTTAAAGATTTAATGAACTTGTCCTTGATCTGGACATGGACGTTGTCTTATTGCTCTGAAATTTTGTTCTTTAGATGATTGACAGAATGTGTACATTACTTGGTGGAAGAGTTTCGGAGAAAATCTTCTTTGATAAGATTACATCTGGTGCCCAAGATGATCTTCAAAAAGTGACCAAATTGGCCTATTCTCAAGTAAGTTTCTAACCATAGCCTTTCAAGTCAATATATAATTTTTTTGTCAGAAACAGGATTTTAGATTCTCTTTAAAGGTTGTTGCAACTAGGTTATATAATATGTAGCAAAGGAAGGGTAAAAGAATATTGTGACACAACTATTAGACATGAGAACACACTATGTTGTAGCTAGAACTGTGTCCTATGTTATATGGACCTCAATATCTTAGTCAGTTGGAAAATTGGCCAATATAACTCAGGTGCTTAGTTCAATTTACACTTTCTGTGGCAGTTTGTGTTAGGAAGCTGACAAACAGACTGGCCTATGATTGTGATTGTGTCTGTGGGAGAGACACTTTACCCTTATTGCTCTAAATGGTATCAATGATTATCTCGTATATCATTCAGTGAAGTAGCCACCAGCTACTACAAGTATATCCAGCTGCCAAATGACCCTGGCTGATCAGGGGTGATAAAACCAGCAAATATAGAATTCATAGCTAGAGGATAAAAAGCAGAATGTTTTGTTATATGGCTCTAAAACATGAAGCTGGAATAAACAGTAGTACATCCGAACCATTTTTTTCTTCCAAGAAAGAAAATTATTTTCTGGGGATTCAATTTTGTGCTATCAGTATTTTTTACCCTGGTTTGGTATTTACAGGTAGAAATAACTGATATATATTGGCCGCCATTAGCATATGAAATAGTGTCATGTAAATTCATTCAGCATAAGGCATCTTCTTTCTATCAGGATTTTTTTTCTTGATTTGAACACTTGATAATAATTTTTTATTTGGATTATGGGTTACCTGGTAAATCTTAAAAAATTAATTGAAATTGATTAAGGTTTCTAAATGACTTACATATATGTGTATGAAATGAATTGTCTGAAGATGGAGGCAATGCCTGAAAAAGTGAAACACAACTTTTGCAGTATTGACTTATCATTCAGGTAGATCTACAATGGTCCCATGGTAAATCTGTAAGCTGATGTCTGGGAAATTCACAATCCTGACTGAACTATTGGGAAATGGTAACCCACAATTAAACTGAATATATTATTAGTAATTGTTTTCAAATTAAACACCAGTAAAGGTTTATGAAGTGATTTTTTAAATATTCTGTGAAACATTATGAGAGGACTCATGTTTCTGTAGGTGACACTGCTCGGTATGAGTGATAAGATTGGACAGGTAGCCTTTGAGCAGGAGCAGCAATCATTCCAGAAGCCATACAGTGAAAAAACAGCAATGATGATTGATGAAGAAGTCCGAGACCTTGTGGCTAAGTGTTATGATAGGACCATGGAACTATTGACTGAGAAAAAGGATCTAATAGACAAGGTAAGTAAACAAAGACAACAAGACTAGTAAGTATTGATGTACACTCCAAACTTTTATCTGATGATGTAAAATGTGTTTGTTCTTGAACAAAGGGTTGTTTTCTTCAATATTCTACATATTCAGTGTGGGTGAAGAGATTTTCTCTATCTTTATAAAGAATCTCTGAGACATTGGGAACATGGTTTGAATGTAAAAAATGATAAGGATATATAGGGCAAGAAAGATATAGCAAAATATAAGCATCTACAATATTACGGTAAGTCAACTCTTAGTGAATATTAATTGTCACAAATTAACAAGGATAATAATAGTATGTACATTTATAGTTTATCGTAAGTAATATGGTCTGATTCCTGCAAGTTACTAGCCAATACCAGTGTAAGGAACTTGGTCTACAGAAGGCCTCCAAGCTTTTTATCAGACAAGAATTGAGGTTTGATGATGTGTAAACCTAGGGCAAATGAACTCCCCCCTCCCCCTCCCGAGGAAGCTGATGGTGCTAAATAGGAGACCTTTATCAGATCTTGTCATTTTAGAAGGAAATTTGATGCTGTGTAAACAAAGGATATGACACCTGAGTCAGACAATGTGGCTAGATCAGGGAACAAAATCTTATTTGCCCATTTCCAATTTTCACTAACATAGCTTATGTATTGGTGATATTTATATCATTGTTATTTCTAGGTTGCCAAATTGTTGCTAGAAAAAGAAAAGATCGACAAGGCAGATATGGAGTCTATTTTGGGAAAGAGACCATTTGCAGAAAAATCAACTTATGAAGAGTTTGTGGAGGGTACTGGTTCGATGGAGGAAGATACAGTACTACCTAAAGGACTTGAAAGCTGGAATAAGACTCGTCAAACAACAGACAAACCACTACCAGAACCTGCTGTATAATGAAAACATGACAAAGCTAGTTGTGAGAACTGTGGACAGATTTAATTATCACTAAAGTATTTGTATGAGTTTGATGAAGACAGAGAAGCAATATATTTACTGAATCATTATTTTACTAGTCTGTGACTTGTTATCATTGTAGTGATCTGGTGTTTCATGTTTGATAATAAATGTTGAACTTCTATGTGAAATATGAAATGTTACTTCCTAAGATAAATTATTTGCTTAAATATTGATTTGAGGAGAAGAAGGTCAGTTTTACAGATAACACAAAAGTGTGTTGTCCAGGTAACACAAAAGTGTGTTATCCAGGTAACACAAAAGTGTGTTATCCAGGTAACACAAAAGTGTATTGTCCAGGTAACACAATTCACAGCTGATTATGTAAATGATTTTGTTTTTTTTTTCCACTTTACCTGTCATTAGGTTGTGATGTTTCAGTACTGTATGTACATTGGATTGAAATCGGACGGCTGATGCCTCGGTTTTGAGATATGATTTCCCAGGAAATGAACAGCAACATCACATGTGGATGTGTACCTATAGCATTGATTATGGTGTTGTGATTTGTACTGGAGTTATGCCCCCTGTTATGAGGAACATTGATAATAATCTTGCCCCACAGCTAGTCCCATTTATTTCAATTCAAACAGGCATCAGCAGCATTTGACAAAGTTGTTTTTTGAATAAGGGGTATTTACCCAATACTTAACATGACTTAAATTTTTGTGGAAACAAACAGATTAGTAATTAGCCATCAGCTTGAATGTTGAACACTTGAATTGTCTTCCTAAAGGAAACTGGTCAGAACTAATTATCTGATTTAGTAATCATTGTTATTCTATAATCAGGGAAACTTCTGATACAGTTTAGCTTTCACACTTTAATTAAGGTGAAAATGAAATGGTGATTGAAGTTTCAAGTTAAAGCTGAAATATATATTTTTGAATTTGAATACTGGTTGAAAACAGATATTTCATGAGTGAATGTTTCCCCATATAGACTAACAACTGTTTATTTATATTGTTTGAAAACATTTAGTGTCGCAAGCACAACATTAAAAATTGGAATGGTCATCCTCAATTAGAAGTAATCGATGTCCACTTTGTGGTAAAACTACCAACAGCCTGTATCCCTACCCTAACTTAGCTTAACCATTTGCTGATATACAGACAAATTGCTCACAGCTGTAGAGCATACAACTTGATGTTGGTAAGAGATAATGATGTGACAGAGTGTTGTTCTGTGACAACAGAGCCTTGTCATGCTGATAGCAGTATTAACTTATGTGTGATTTGCTCAGTTACTGCAAATAATAAATGATCAGGATTTGTTTTGTAATTGATGATGTTTTACTTACCTGGAACAGTGAATTTAAAATGAAATTTCACTGTCCAAACAACACCACTTCATATATATCTGACTTTAAATATGAAATTGAAAGAACTGATGATGCCTTCAGTATGGTACAACAAAACCTTTTACCCTCTTGAAGGTGAGGTTGGGGAATCTCAATGTGACAGGATGATTGATAAGTTGGCAAACAAGAAACTTGCCAAGTGTTTGCAACTTTATAATCTTTCGTGAGAGTTGAAATCTCGGTATCTCGCCAACAAGGGAGTGAACGATTACTTCTGTATCTTTGTCTTAATGCTTTTGTTGTTGACGTGACGTCATACTTTGATACACCTGTCCAGATGGGGTTAGAAACGAAGATGTCTTTTATCACAAAATAGTTTTGGAATATTGCCAAAATAGGAACTTTTAAACTACTTTATTTAATTTCAACAAGAAAGGGTTCAAAAGTAGTGATTTGTAAAGACAAAACGTCCGTTTCATCCACATTGTAGTAGACTTAAGCAATCATTGCAGCTAAAGGTTTTTTTGCTTGACAAGAAAAAGAAACTGTTTTGATAAAGAAAATTTAGAAATGAAAATGAAAAACTTTGATGTTAAAGCAATCCTTTACACAAAAACAGTAATTCTTTAGAAGTATTCACTGAAAACCAAAAAAGTTTTCATCCTAAATAATAGAGTTGTCTCTGTATTAAGAACGATCATGAAAACACGAAAGAGAAATTATTTTCAACAATAATGTTTTACACAAAGCAATTCTAGATCGAGAAAAAACTTTGAAGTTCTATAACTTGCCAGTGTACAGACAAAGCAGTTATTCTGGACTAACGAGGGTTTTAAAGTATATCTCAACATAATAAGCCCACATCCCTGTACTGGGACTTCACAGAATTGTGGGTGTAAAGAAGGGTCAGCTATTTAATGCTGAACATAACACTGGTATTTTCTTTGTAGTTTTGTATTCGTCAATATCAAGATAAATACTTATACAGCAAGAGAGCATACTACAAGTAATAGAAATTTGTCTGAAAACGCATGACCACACAGTGGAAATTTAAAATAGTTAGATACAAAATACTTTCTGCAAACACGAACCAGTGCCTCATAGCTTGCTGTGTTATCTAGTTGTGAACGACATGTACATGGACATCAGTACTGGTTTCTTGTAGAAGTTAGTGGAAAAACAACAATGAAAACGTAACACATAGCAGATATAACATTTCTTTATGGTATTGTTTAAAGTACTTGTAAAACAACGTGCCATTGGTAAGAACAAATACTTGTTTAGGCTCTTGCCTTTTTTGAGGGGGTTGGGGGAGTGGCAAAGTTTTGCTTTTTACTCGTGTACATGCGTCCTGAAGCATCCCGCCCGGTTCTAAATAACAATAAATTTCATATCTTCAGAACTCCTGGGCAGATTTGGTTCACATTTACACCATAGTATCATTATTTACCCATAATATCACGTTCTACAATGCACCATTATTTAGGTGACCATCGATCACGTGAGAAGGGTCGAAGGTCACGTTATTTAAGGGAGGCGGGGCATTCATGTCGGTCATTATCTAGTTTTAGCCCAACTCATATTTGAAAGAAATGACATGGAAATGCTTATTTCACAGGAATTAATTATCACCTAAACACAAAGTTCATCACCTCCATTATTTAACTCGGCAGGAGATGCACGTTCATCAAGTTTTAAGGCTTGGATCCTCTCTATAGCCGGATTCCACTCTAAGTCGACCTGAAGTGACTCTCTGTAAGCCCGGATGGCCTTGTGACTGTCCCCCAGAGTTTGGTAGCAGATGCCCAGTAAAGTGTGTACTATCCAATGCATGTGTCCTCCTTCTTCTTCGTCATACTTCAACACTATCAGGTTACGGAGGGCTGCGTCACGTCCCTTAACGTCTCCGAGCTCGTGATAATCCAAAAATGCAAGGAACGCTGCATAAGGCAGGGGTGGGATACCCATGGTGCCGTCTGGGTGTTCTTCCAACTCTTTTTGTAGATGGGGAAGACATATTCTTTTCAATGCTTTCCCGAAATATAACACTGAAGTAAATGTCTGTTTCGTTTTGAATAGAAGCGAATGTCCACGTCCACAGAATTCTTTCGTATACAAACTGGAATCTTTCGGATAATACCGGACTAAAGATAATACAGACCGACACATTTGCACAGATTTCCAATAATTTCCTGTTTGATAGTGGAACGTTGCTAAATATAAGAGTTCTGTCCCGAACATTGCTTTCGGCATCACAAGGTTTCTGCTTTCTCGTAGTCTTCTGTACTTGGATTTGTTATTGCTGGTGGTAGTAGTTGTGGCGGTGATGGAGCAGAAGTTTGACATTCCCATTCTTGAAAGTACTTCCACTGTATTGAAGTAAACCAGGAAATCATCCAACTCCGACTTTGAAGACAAGAGGGATTGAAATGCATGAGCTAGCCCCGCTCTGTCCTGTACGTTCCGTGCTACGGTTATGTGTCTGGAAAGACAAGTATAGAGTGCCAGATCGTGTCGTGATTCTAATTCTAGTGGCGAGTCCGATTGTTTAAGGATAACTTGTGTTCTTCTGTCAAGAAGACGTTCTATGATATTGGGCTGGTAGTACGTGCCGACAGATAAACATTGCCATTTCATCTGATGAAGTTCTATCAGTAGATATAGTATTTTTTGTTGATTATCCCCGTGGATGTGCCTCTTGAAGAGATTGTTTGTTGGGATGAAGTATTGAGGACAGTATCCGGATTTTACCCAAACGATGAGAACATTGAAACAAAACCAAAAGCAGAGGAAAGTGTTGCTTTCTTTCCAGAATTGTCTCGGAGTATTTTCTACTGCATGGAATATTATTGTTTTTAAGAAATATGAACAAAGAATATCTTCCTCTCCAAAGATATTTTGCAGTGAATCTTTGAGATTCTTTAAAAGGATTTTCAACAAGCCATATACCTGGAATTGGGTATGATTTAGTGAATGAACTAAACGTCTCTCTGCAGTAGCAAATGATATCCTCCACTGCAGTAGGGTATCGTCGGAACACTTATCGCCTATCGGAACAACATGGCAACCTTTTTCTACAATCATATCTATCAGCGTTTGACTTGGCCAGCCATAAAGCCGAGTTCTTCTTACCCATCCAGATGCCTCCTTTGGCCAAGACATGCACGGGAAGCCGTGGACGACGTCAAACGCCCTGCGAAGTTTTGTTGCTTCACCACTAGAGCTTGGTCCGTGGGAGGAGCTGTCAATTCCACACATACGTCCTACTCTGATAACTTCCTCTCTGTATATATCACTAGAGAGGAACACATCTCCTTCAATCTCGACAAACGCATTAGATAACATTCTGCTAAAGCTCCGTGTTTGCCACAACATTAGTTGCAATTTTACATATCCAGGTTGACAGTTCTGTGCCTTGTGCATGAAGAGTATAATTTTGTCATTATATTCTGTAGGAATATGTTGATTTGGGTAAAAAACACATACATTGTTGTCTATCAGCATTTCGTCGTTATCTGAATCTTTCATCATAAAGCCTTCAGAACAACTCCCCGCCATGTACAGAACTAAGGCCTTGTTGAAGGCGTTGTGTAGGTGTTCCTTCACAACAAGTGTCCTCTGCCTGATGTTTACTTCGCCTTGAGAACCCAAAGCTCTGTTCAGTAATCTCGATAAGAGAATAGACATCCCTTCCGAATCTCCTAGATCAACCATGATTATTTTGTCTGTCTGAGAATAGATAATTAAAACATTCGCATTGGAAAGAGAATTAATACATTGTAGGTTGAGAAGAGGATTCCAACAAAAGGAGGAGATGTGTGTATGTCAACGTAAGCATGATTGTAACTTATATTTTGGCTTTGCTATAGCAATCATAGTGCTTCTGCCAAATTATACGTTAAACTGTCGCCACTTTGACTCGGTAACATAAATGTTATTTGTATGAAAAATATACTGTTGGAAAAAAGAAACGCAAGTTCATTTTTTGTAATATAACCTTTAGACACGTGTATGAAATTTAATCAAATTTGACCTTCGTACACCGTGAAAATGATCTTAAGTCAAAATTCAGTCGACCGTGACACCGCCCAACATTGCATACTTTCAGCAGATATTTTGTAAGAAAGCATGCATCGTGCGTCTCAAAGCCAAAGGGAGATTGGGTGACCGTCCCAGAAGCGGACGCCCGCGCATTACTTCGCGACGTCAAGATAGAGGCATACGTCTCTCACACCTCCGTAACAGATTTCAGACAGAGACGACATGACAAGTTGTCGACACTTATGGTCGGCCAGTGTGTCGAAGAACGGTAAGGAATCGGTTGCATGAGTTTCATTTAAGGCCACAACGTCCCTATGTTGGTTCGCCACTTTGCTAAGGTTTGTCGTGACTTTCTAGCTCAAAACAATGTCCTAGTTCTTGATTGACCAACATAGCGTACAGATTTGTCCCCAATCGAATATCTGTGGGACAAGCTGGACAGAAGGGTTAGGAACGCGTCAGCGTCCCATAGAACGTAGCTCAACTACGCAGGCCCTTGTTCAGGAGTGAAATAATATCCCTCAAGGGACAATAAACATCGTGATGGGGTCAATGTTAAGGCGAGTAAGAGCAGCGACTGAAGCCAGGGGTGGGCACACCACGCTATTGATCTGGATCAGGAAACGGCGTAGCGTATCCTTGTTTTAACGCTATTCACGCAAGCACCGTGTGTGACAACAAAAATCATCAAAATGTGTTCGATAATGATGAAATAATTGAGAAACAATGAACTAATGAACCATGTAAAATAATAAATATTGAAAATGAACTTGCGTTTCTCCGCTAGTATATACAAACAAACCTCATTGTTCATTGCAGATGTGAACAAAATAGATTTCACCATTATCAGTGAATCAGGAAATTATAAGTGAGATAAATCCCCCAAAAGTCATTGTTTTCTGCCACGGAGGTTCGAGTGGCATATTCACGTGATTACTATTTAAGTAAGTTCTAGGCTATAATCAATTCTTTTTTTATGGTTGTATGAAACACAAAAATGAATCTCACCTTTTAATATAAATTTATAGTTAGATTCAGTTGTCAGACAACAAATTAAACTGCATCATACAGCTGTTTCATCCTTCTAGGATTCGTCAGTGATGCTACATCATACAGCTGTTTCGTCCTTCTAGGGCTCGTCAGTGATGCTACATCACACAGTTGTTTCGTCCTTCTAGGACTCTTCAGTGATGCTACATCACACAGTTATTTCGTCCTTCTAGGACTCGTCAGTGATGCTACATCACACTCATTGATGTTACATCACACATCTGTTTCGTCCTTCTGGGACTCGTAAGTGATGTGATACTGCATCACACAGCTGTTTCGTCCTTCTAGGACTCGTCAGTGATGCTACATCATACAGCTGTTTCGTCCTTCTAGGACTCGTCAGTGATGCTACATCATACAGCTGTTTCGTCCTTCTAGGACTCGTCAGTGATGCTACATCATACAGCTGTTTCGTCCTTCTAGGACTCGTCAGTGATGCTACATCATACAGCTGTTTCGTCCTTCTAGGACTCGTCAGTGATGCTACATCATACAGCTGTTTCGTCCTTCTAGGACTCGTCAGTGATGCTACATCATACAGCTGTTTCGTCCTTCTAGGACTCGTCAGTGATGCTACATCATACAGCTGTTTCGTCCTTCTAGGACTCGTCAGTGATGCTACATCATACAGCTGTTTCGTCCTTCTAGGACTCGTCAGTGATGTTACATCATACAGTTATTTCGTCCTTCTAGGACTCGTCAGTGATGCTACATCACACTCATTGATATTACATCACACATCTGTTTCGTCCTTCTAGGACTCGTCAGTGATGCTACATCATACAGCTGTTTCGTCCTTCTAGGACTCGTCAGTGATGCTACATCACACAGCTGTTTCGTCCTTCTAGGACTCGTCAGTGATGTTACATCATACAGTTATTTCGTCCTTCTAGGACTCGTCAGTGATGCTACATCACACTCATTGATATTACATCACACATCTGTTTCGTCCTTCTAGGACTCGTCAGTGATGCTACATCATACAGCTGTTTCGTCCTTCTAGGACTCGTCAGTGATGCTACATCATACAGCTGTTTCGTCCTTCTAGGACTCGTCAGTGATGCTACATCATACAGCTGTTTCGTCCTTCTAGGACTCGTCAGTGATGCTACATCACACAGCTGTTTCGTCCTTCTAGGACTCGTCAGTGATGTTACATCATACAGTTATTTCGTCCTTCTAGGACTCGTCAGTGATGCTACATCACACTCATTGATATTACATCACACATCTGTTTCGTCCTTCTAGGACTCGTCAGTGATGCTACATCATACAGCTCTTTCGTCCTTCTAGGACTCGTTAGTGATGCTACATCATACAGCTGTTTCGTCCTTCTAGGACTCATCCGTGATGCTGTGTAAATTTCGAAGCCAAAAAGACGATTGATCAAAAGAAAAGTCAAAATTAGGATAGGGAGATGCACTATCCCAATCATTAAATATTTCCTTTTAAATGTCAGCTGTAAATTGAGGAACAAAGCGCCTATCATTTTTATCATATTTACAAATGTACTTCTTTACATGTAGAATCAAAAACTGCATGTGGCAAGCGATGTCGATCCATGCTTTACTCCACTTATAATATACATCTTATATAGTATATCAGATATCTCATTTATAACAAAAAAAAAAAGTAAATTCCTTATATATATAGTATATAATGTATATATTGAACTCGGAATACATGTTTAGTTGGCTTGCCATCAGAAAAAAAAATTAACCATGAATTTATCGAAACATGTTGTATCTCACGCGCGTCTATATATTCGTGTTCATGAAATATATTTTGGACAATAACTTGTGTTTGGCAGACAATATAAAAAAAGGAAATATGAAAAGCTACAGGTACTATATAGAACGTTGAATCTTTTTAAGTATACTGTTAACACACTAGCCCATACCAGCTTTACATGTATACTGACAACACTTGAACACATACCAGCTTTACATGTATACTGACAACACATGAACACATACCAGCTTTACATGTATACTGACAACACTTGAACACATACCAGCTTTACATGTATACAGACAACACGAACATATACCAGCTTTACATGCATGCTGTTAACACTTGAACACATACCAGCTTTACATGTATACTGACAACACTTGAACACATACCAGCTTTACATGTATACAGACAACACGAACATATACCAGCTTTACATGTATACTGACAACACTTGAACACATACCAGCTTTACATGTATACTGAGAACACTTGAACACATGCCAGCTTTACATGTATACTGATAACACTTGAACACATACCAGCTGTACATGTATACTGATAACACTTGAACGCATACCAGCTGTACATGTATACAGACAACACGAACATATACCAGCTTTACATGTATGCTGTTAACACTTGAACACATACCAACTTTACATGTATACTGAGAACACTTGAACACATACCAGCTTTACATGTATACTGACAACACTTGAACACATACAAGCTGTACATGTATACTGACAACACATGTGCATATACCAGCTTTACATGTATACAGACAACACGAACATATACAAGCTGTACATGTATACTGACAACACTTGAACACATACCAGCTTTACATGTATACTGACAACACTTGAACACATACCAGCTTTACATGTATACTGACAACACTTGAACACATACCAGCTTTACATGTATACTGACAACACTTGAGCACATACAAGCTGTACATGTATACTGACAACACTTGAACACATACCAGCTTTACATGTATACTGATGACACTTGAACACATACCAGCTGTACATGTATACTGACAACACTTGAGCGGTAGTGTGATGGAAGACCTTTAAGATGTAGGTCATACCAGATTTCAAACACTCTTAACAATATAACGAAACGGTAGCTATTTTCTTAAGAAATATCGGTGTTTGTAGTTTTGTAGTTGTTGGTTCAGTAAATAAGTTACTTTTGAGACCAAGTTTGTCTTACCTGTAGAAATATTCAGTAATACGTGTGGGGAAATGTTCAGTAGTACTATTGCTTAACATCACAGTCACACACGTCATGTCTTCATTTTCATGTGTATACATGTTCAGGGCCTCGTCTCGGGCAACATATATACAATATAAAGCAACGACAAATAATTACACGCGGACACTTGTGGAAGATTTGGTTTCCTTCATTCGTTACATTTCAACTCCATGCTAATATATAAACAAATGTTTCCTACATTAAATTGAGATATCCATGTTTATATTTTTAAGGAATGAAAAGAAATATAGCTGAATGTTTTTTTTTCAAATGTCATCATCTATACATATCTGAAAATCAACAACTACAACTGTATTTGAATAATATCAAGCCCGGCTTACATTTAAGAGATTTTCTTCACTATATTTCATAACCTAGAAATAATAGCTTTTTCGTTCTTATGTCAAGTCGACATTTGATGCAATAGTTCTCAATGAAGTGATGTATAATATATCATGTATTTTATGACATATAAGTTCTGGTATAATTTATGTATTTTAAAAAATTTCTCGCCAAAACAGTCTTGTATCTTTAAAAGATTTAAGATACCTGGGCGACACAGATAATATTCAAGATGTCTCATAAAAAATATGAAATATTTCAGAGATGTCAGACAATATATAAGATGTCTTATAAAAGACAAAACTATCGTATGAAAGACTATATATACATATTAAGGTTTTCAGATAGAAACATATTCTGATTATTTCTTTCTTTGTCTTTAAGTAGACTATACACAGTTTGAATATATAATATATCTATATACATGTTTCGTTGCTTCATTAATTGTTATTTCACAATCTACCGAAAGACGATTTCAATGTCTGACAGTGTACCAGTAGCACATCACACTGAACATACTGGTCGAAATCAATACAAAGTACAACACGTGTAAACCCTATAAGACGTACAATGCCTGACAGTGTACCAGTTGCACATCACACTGAACATACTGGTCGAAATCAATACAAAGTACAACACGTGTAAACCCTATAAGACGTACAATGCCAGACAGTGTACCAGTTGCACATCACACTGAACATACTGGTCGATATCAATACAAAGTACAACACGTGTAAACCCTATAAGACGTACAATGTATAGATTTACCAGTAAAGGCATGTTGTGGAATCTGTAAACGAACTGGTAGAATGTAATATCATCAGAGGCAAAATGTCATGATTGTGAGGGACGGATATCAAGTCCCCTGAGGTGGGATTATTACCGAGATCAAAATATGGATGAACCCAACTAGCAAGCGATGGAGGCGTGAAAAGTTGCGTCAATGAACACTATTTCATATATGCTTATATGACAAAATGGAATTTTCATTTTTCACCCTTTCAACCAGTTTTCATTGTTGACCTGATATCGCCACAAGACACGGTAACTCAGAAAACACTTGTTAGACTATCCGAGAGTTAGGCACTCCAGTAGGAGCAAATGTCATACTTTTTTTTAATTGAAGTACTTCAAAATGAAGATTTTGCACTTTTGAATGAGGTAACTACCAATTATTTTTAGAATACAATGTTGCTTAGAAGCTTTTGTCTATATTTGAATATGTAAATAAAAATTCATCTCGATCGGAGTCGATATCAAAATTAAGCAAATTTAAACAGAATTTTCACATATAATTTTGTCATTGCCAATTTTGAAAGGAATAATTTAGTTTGTTCTCTTTCCTAAACCGATAGCTTGTCGCGATTCGCCTGCATCCCTTTGGATGTAATTGTAATTAAACCACTTTTACTAGTATTCAATTGTAACTGATAACATGGTCCGTCTTGACGTTGTCGATTCTTACGTCCGGAACCGTTCCTGACATTAGTCTTTCCCATTTTAACCTTAGATACTATGTAAACAATATGGCGGCAAAGTATTGGTGATTGTTACGCTTGGTGAGAGTAACTTCCTGTTCAAAATGCCTAAAAAGGGGAAAAAGGGAGGCAAGAAGAAGGGAAAGTAAGTTATAGCACTACATTTTTTTCAATGATATTCTAATTACACAGAATTTATCCGGAATAGTTGTGAAACAAACCGGACAGGATATTAATGTCGTAATGACAATAAACCTGAAGACTGTAGATCTAATAGGCCTATTTCTAAATAATATTCCCTGACATCTTACCAGAGGTCTTTATTTAGGACTGTGTAACACTATATTTGTTTTAAAACTTCATTGTCATTGTGTTTATCATTTTCTATTCACATGGACTTACCTTTAAGTATGGCTTATATGTGTAACAGGAGTGGGGGTCAACAGTTACCCGGTCCCGTCTCGCCCTGTATCACCGTCAACCCATGTTCGAAGGGTACAGCTTGTATTTTGTTTTCGAAGGAGGACAAACACTGCTTATTTAAATGTAACAATTTATTTAACAGCAAACATTAATTAACAGGAATTATCAACAATGGCATAGGCCTATACCGACACAGAGACCCCCATCTTACACCGAACACATAAACTTATCTATCTCTATACAAAATAACATTCCACCCAGCTATAGCTTCCCACCCGATAAAGTAATGAATTACACTACCATCCCCCGACCTACCTCAGAGAAGGTTTTCACCCTGTGGAAGTTAATCCAACGCTCTGCACACAAATTATTAGACATACTGCATCTTATACCCTAAAATGAGACAGTTTGAACTAATCACAACACATCACCAGAGACAGAACATCCCTGACACGGACGAAAATGCAAGGAAAACAAGACAGGAGAACTTGCACGTGATATACATAGACCTCCGACAAAACGGGTAACAGGTGACAGGACAAAACAATGGAGAGGTCACCGGTACACAGGGTACAAACACTACAGTAGACCTGACACACGGACACCTGTATAAAGCTGACTAAAATTGAAGCATTGACAGCTTTATATCATAAAATTACACAAGATATAATGTCCCCCGCTACATATGTATGTAAGTCTAAATACATTTGCATGCCTTTGATGATTTACAACTCGATATAATGTATGTCACAAGGCGAAGGCAGTAGAACTGTTGTATCTTCCATGTACTTTTGGCCTACAAAGCTCCATTTCTGGAGCAATAAATCACAGACAGTGGTTTATACAGTCCTCAGACATATCGGTTATTGACTGCTCAATGGATAAAACCATCATTGGGTTACTAGATTTCTATTTTATCATGTCAGTCTGGAGCGGAATAAAAAGCTGATCGAATGTCAGGATGATTAGACTAAAGTATTATTTACAGTGTATCATCTGATCAGAGTCAAGACTCAGTAAACCTTTCTTACTAACCTAAATGCAGTAGCTGTTATTTATACATGTATTGAAAACACTGTATTCATGTGTCTGTTCTGTATACCAGAAGTGCCTCTGGGAAACATGATTCAGACAAAGTTGAAGGTTTGGAGGCTGATGCAGGTACCATGATGGATATCACTGATGCAGAGGGCAAACTCAAACCTGGCAGTTCAGCAGACGGGAAAGGAGGAAAAAAGAAGAAAAAGGGAAAAAAGAAAAAGATTTCTACTGCAGACAAAGCTTTGGTACGATAATTCATCTCTCATAATACATGTATATTGCATTTACCAGTACAGGACCTGAATGTCATAAATTATTAGACATATTCAAAATGACTAGGATTACACATATATGTACTTGCACTAGTTTGAATAAAATTAATAAGAAATTTCTAAATACCAGAAGAAAAAAATATTAGAGGAATAAGATTAGTCAGTTGTAATTTTCAGTTATAGGAGCTTTATGTATATGTCACTTACCAACTTATGTCTGTTTTATAAGTATTAACATTGTATTCAGGAAAATTGAAATTTGATTTTTAAAAAAAACCTTCTTCTCAGTGTCTAAATCTGTGCAGGTGTTAATTTGAAGATAATATCTTTGTATTTTCCACAGCTGGTTAGTTTAATGTATTTGAACAATATTGAAATCACAATTGAACCCAAAACTTATATGATATCTCCTTTCTTTTTTAATCTTTTTCAGGAGAAATTAGAAAAGGCAGCTGATAAATTAAAAGCAAATAAAATTTTCTTCATTCCGTTTGTAAATCGTATGGATCGGTGGCTGGCTGCTAATTCTCAACTGGCTGTGGAGCTTTTTAAGAAATGTGATCAGGAAGATGAAGGATATATCAATTATGATGATTTTAAATCAGGTGAGGAATGCATTAATTGAATTAACATTGATTTTAAATCTTAGCTAATTTTTCCACTGGTTTAAGAAGCTGCTGTGACTGTTGCTGCATTCAAGTCTGAAACATAAATAGACATTTCTTCATCATACACTTCTGATTACTCAGCTTGTTGTACCTTCATTGTCTGTGGAATTTGAGTACCTTATTTTCAATGGTCCTTGGTCTAGAGTTATGAAAATAAAATATCAAAATAATTTGCATTTAGATATAAATGGGAGGTGATTTAAGTCAGTTGTCTCCCATTTTACATTAACAGGGATGTTCGATCTTGGCGTTATCTGTAACAGGACAGAGTTACATTTACTGGCAAAGTTGATGGACAGGGAAAACAGTGGTGATATTGACTATTATGACATTCCCAAAGGTCTGCAGTATGTAAGGTAAGTAAACTACAAGGACATTACAAGATATTGCCAACGTAAACAAATACCAGTGTACATGAAAAAGTGTATCTTGATTTGCATAAAACAACTACAACAAACATAACAGAATGTTTCTGAATTGCCTGTACATATAATTATATTTATTCCCAAACATCTGAAGCTGTCAAGAGAGGTCAAGAACTCTGCAAAATATACAATTTAGCTAAAGCAGTAATTTTACTACATAATGGAAAATTCAATGGTAAAGTTAGGTTAACGATAAACATCATAAGAATATTTAGACTTCTCAGATTTATTTCAAATAGGTCTTCAAAAAATATACACTTCATGTGAAATTTTCATGTTGTCATTTTTGTTATTTGTATATATGTGCATTTTAAATATAAATTACATGTACTTTGGAAATTGTGAAATGTCTACAAAGTGACTGTCAAAGAGGTTGAAAGATATAGCTGATGTAAAAAGGAACATGTATTTTGGGTGTATTAGCCTAGACGTGTTTATCATTCCTGCCGATTAATGATGATGTAATTTGATTTCCACAATATTGAAGTGAAGAATAATCTGTGAAGTCGCTTGGTATGATAATGTCTGACAAAATGACATATAGTTGGTGTATCATTTGACAGAGAACTGGAGGAGATGGACAAAGAGGCAGAAGAGGCGGAAAATATTCTCATCAAAACAGAACGCAACATGGATCACTGTAAAAAGTGTAAGATGGGTATCAATGGACCTAGCATGATAAAAAATCCCAGGCAAGTACATTGATCAAGTTTTTAAACCAAACACTATTTTTTCCATTGAGAAGTATATCATACACGTTAAAAACTGCACTACCTCTTTACAGGAATTCATATGCATGTCTTACAATTGTATTTATTATGTGATTTTTGCATGTATAGTTTTATCAAACCAAAATAATCATAAATAAGCCCAGAATTCCTTCTTATACTGAATTTTATGTTGACAGATATTTGTTACTTGAGCTGGTGTTTGTGACATTCCATGCTAATGCTGACCACCCTTGGCATTTGGAAGAGTTAGTCCATACACACATACCAGTGTGTGGTCTCTTACAACTCATAGCAGAGCTCACAGGCATCCAGTCCACCAAACTGTCCCTCTTCAGTGACAAGTCTCGTAATCGTGAGGCCATGTTACCTCCTGATATGACCCTTAAGGAGCTAGGATATGAAGGGGCATCTCAGAATGAACCTGAGGAAACAACTCTATATTATGATTACAAGGTTGAATTCACAGACTGTCCCGTACTTCTGTGTGATCATTATTTTGGAGAGGAAATTAAATTAGGTCAGCGCTACAGACCACCTGCTGAAAAATCTGCCAAAATTAAGAAATGACAAAAATATATTCTTTTGAAGTATAACTATTTTGACTACAAAAGATGGATCTGGCTTGTAAGAAATCAGTGGGTTTCTCACTGCACATCTTATCAAAACTATGTTTAACATGGAATGATGTGTTCATACAGCATACAAGTGGGTGCTTACAACATCACTTGGTGGATGCCATATGCTTGGACTCTCAGAACCAGGATATGCCATCAGTTCTGATCTATAGACTGTTCAAAGCCATCAGGTCCATTCCATAAAAGTGAAGCTGACACACATCTTTAGCCCCAGGTCCACAGAAATAATCCTATATACACATTAAAGACTTAGGTCTATAGATTACTGTGTAGTGTGTACATGTCATACATTCAAGTCTACATGTCATACATTCAGGTCCATAGAACCGGTACTGTGTAGTGTGTACATGTCATACATTCAGGTCTATAGAACCGGTACTGTGTAGTGTGTACATGTCATACATTCAGGTCTATAGAACCAGTACTGTGTAGTGTGTACATGTCATACATTCAGGTCTATAGAACCGGTACTGTGTAGTGTGTACATGTCATACATGCAGGTCTATATGTCATACATTCAGGTCTATAGAACCAGTAGTGTGTAGTGTGTACATGTCATACATTCAGGTCTATAGAACTGGTACTGTGTAGTGTGTTCATGTCATACATTCAGGTCTACATGTCATACATTCAGGTCCATAGGACCAGTACTGTGCAGTGTGTATATGTCAAACATTCAGGTCCATAGAACCTGTACTGTGTTGTGTGTACTTGTCATACATTTAGGTCTACATGTCATACATTCAGGTCCATAGAACCGGTACTGTGTTGTGTGTACGTCATACATTCAGGTCTACATGTCATACATTCAGGTCTATAGAACCAGTACTGTGTAGTGTGTACATGTCATGCATTTAGGTCCATAGAACCTGTACTGTGTTGTGTGTACATGTCATACATTCATGTCTACATGTCATACATTCAGGTCCATAGAACCGGTACTGTGTTGTGTGTACATGTCATACATTCAGGTCTACATGTCATATATTCAGGTCCATAGAACCTGTACTGTGTAGTGTGTACATGTCATACATTCAGGTCTACATGTGATACATTCAGGTCCATAGAACCTGTACTGTGTTGTGTGTACATGTCATACATTCAGGTCTACATGTCATACCTTCAGGTCCATAGAACCTGTACTGTGTTGTGTGTACATGTCATACATTCAGGTCTACATGTCATACCTTCAGGTCTATAGAACCGGTACTGTGTAGTGTGTACATGTCATACATTCAGGTCTACATGTCATACATTCAGGTCCATAGAACAAGTACTGTGTAGTGTGTACATGTCATACATTCAGGTCTACATGTCATATATTCAGGTCTATAGAACCGGTACTGTGTAGTGTGTACATGTCATACATTCAGGTCTACATGTCATACATTCAGGTCCATAAAACCAGTACTGTGTAGTGTGTACATGTCATACATTCAGGTCTACTTGTCATACATTCAGGTCCATAGAACCTGTACTGTGTTGTGTGTACATGTCATACATTCAGGTCTACATGTCATACATTCGACTCGTCATTATAAAACTAGTACTGTGTAACCAGTACTATGTACACATCATTGACTCGGGTGTAGATTTGTACTGCGTACACATCATTGACTCGGGTGTATATTTGTACTGTGTACACATCATTGACTCGGGTGTAGATTTGTACTGTGTACACATCATTGACTCGGGTGTAGATTTGTACTGTGTACACATCATTGACTCGGGTGTGGATTTGTAGTATGTGTCTTGATTCATTTTGAGGCCTTAAAACCAACTGTCTGGGAAATATATGGAAGATTACATGGGTACGTCATCATTGACTCTAAGAGCATGTGATTCTGTTATTTTTTTTATTTATTTATTATTATTTTTTTTGGTATTAATCTATCATTTACGCATTATTGAATTTAAAAGAATGTGTGATGACACTCTAGGTATCTGAAAAAAATATGTTTGATAATATTGAATTTCAAAATAAACTATGATATATTTTGGTCTAGTTAGTAATGAGTTATTGGAAACCTTACACCCTCGGTAAACATCTTAAGTAGGATATAAATCAGGCTCTTTTGTTCCAATGCATTCATTATATTGAAATTCGACAATTCTGTTCTAGGAATAACCATACCATGTTTTAATATGTCGTCGTGTACTGACGGGTTCAAAACGTTCATGAACAGTGAGTAAGGAGCATGCAATCGGACGTTAAGATTTAAATATGTACTCAAATACATGCCAGAGCGACCTGTCAATACGATGTAATTGTATACCAGATATAGAAATAACTGATAACTATACTTCTTTGCTACATCCTACATCTGTTTTATCATTCGTCGACTCCTCGGTGATAGTAGAGGCTATACGTATGGGAATAATGTTGTAATATACACTAACCCAATGCGAGCCACTGTTCAGAAGAGTTTGATCATGCTTCTCATGTAGCATACAGGATTATAACAAAATTCAGAAATAAAAAGTAAATCAACAGCTGAATGATGAGTCGTTCCCGATTCACTGGTTGTGAGTCATAATGACCCAACAGATGACAAGCTAAACTAATATCTTTTACCCTCTAATCCAAACCAATGACGTAATACAATACCCTAGGAACTAAACCAAGGAAACAACACAATACCCTAGGAACCAAACCAATGACGTAATACATTACCCTCTGATCCAAACCAATGACGTAATACATTACCCTCTGATCCAAACCAATGACGTAATACAATACCCTAGGAACCAAACCAAGGAAACAGCACAATACCCTAGGAACCAAACCGATGACGTAATACATTACCCTCTGATCCAAACCAATGACGTAATACAATACCCTAGGAACCAAACCAAGGAAACAGCACAATACCCTAAGAACCAAACCGATGACGTAATACATTACCCTCTGATCCAAACCAATGACGTAATACATTAGCCTCTGATCCAAACCAATGACGTAATACAATACGCTAGGAACCAAACCAAGGAAACAGCACAATACCCTAGGAACCAAACCGATGACAAGCTACAATTCCTCTAATTGAAACCGATGACAAGCTACATACCCTCAAACCAAATGTGACTTGACCCTACGACTGGAAAACCTTTCACCCCATGATAATGGTTGATAAATCTTGTGAAAAGGATATATATGCATATTTTTGATGGAATTTCCAGCGTAAAACGTACAGTAAGCAAATTCACCAGGCCTACTGGAAACCATAATAGTAACGGAAGTACATTCAACACATGGCATGCTGGATTCGTTTGGTAAATCTAGAAAACATAGATATACATATTTTAGAAGATAGATAATGAAGGAACGAGGTTATAACAATAAATAAAATGACACAGTTTAGAAAGGATCCAGGTACGTAGTTAGAATTTACCAGTTTTGTTTATTTATGTTTGTACATGAGGATAACTGGGTTTATGCTAATAAACAAGATATGAAACGGGATGTTTATACACTAGCGTGTATTTTCAAGCTTAACGAAAAGATACAAAAACATATATCAAGAAAATCTTTTTTTCCCCTTACTTTTGTTTTCTTAGTTTCAGATCAAGCTATACAGCTATTCAAATATGCTACGTTGTACAATGAGTATATACTGATTTCTTGATATAAAATTGAATAATAGGAGTGGTCATTTTTAAGAGGTGGAAGGTCGGTAGATGATTGTTTAATAGAGATGATTTCTCGAGATCTGATTCTGTATGGAATTAATTTGGAAAGGTCTCTCTGAAGAGGCCATTGTCTATCAGTAAGATCTCTCGAGAAATTGGGATGATCTCTCTGGAAAAAGAATTGTTTATCAAGGTGGTATGTTGAGAAAGTTTTGCTTCATTGGGATTGTCTCTGTGTAGATAGAATCGTTTATCAGGGAGGTCTGTCGAGAAAGGTTGTCTTAATTGGGAAGGTCTCTGTGAAGAGAGAATGGTTTATCAGGGTGGTATGTCGAGAAAGTTTTGCTTCATTGGGAAGGTCTCTGTGAAGAGAGAATCGTTTATCATGGAGGTCTGTCGGGAATTATTGTTTCATTGGGAAGGTCTGTGAAGAGAGAATTGTTTATCGGGGAGGTATGTCGAGAAAGGTTTGCTTCATTGGGAAGGTCTCTCTGAAGATTGAGGACTGGTTAATTTGGTAAGTCCCGATATATATATTTATTTGAAAAGAACAAAATCAACTAACAGAGAGAGAGAGAGAGAGAGAGAGAGAGAGAGAGAGAGAGAGAGAGAGAGAGAGAGAGAGAGAGAGAGAGAGAGAGAGAGAGAGAGAGAGAGAGAGAGAGAGAGAGAGAGAGACAGAGAGAAGAAAGAGAGAGGAGAGAGAAAACAAGCTAATGAGAGGGAGAGAGAGAAAATGAGAGAGAGACAGAGAGACATAGAGACAGACAGACAGACAGGTCGAGAGAGAGAGACAAGAGAGAGAGGGAAGAGTAGAGAGAGAGAGGGAGAGAGAGAGAGAGAGAGGCAGAGAGAGATACACAGACGTTTTTGTGATTGGAGACGATGTAAGAATTATTAGATTGATATTTTACACATCATTTCACATCTGAAACAACCAACGATTTATTTGTTTCATATTTAAATTTTCCTTTCGAAACAAAATAGAAAAATACCATGTAATCTCCGTCAAAAAAAGGAATGATATGAGTATTCAATCCAAGAGCTTTGCATCTGAGAGCAGGGATCTTATCACTGTGCTACCGTTACGTTATTGATACTAGACTTATTAATTGTAGAGTTTGAAATGTCAATGTTTCTTTAAAAAAAGATAATTGAACCCTGTTTGTCTGTTAAAGTTATTACTAAAACGAATTTACACTGACAGTTTAACACAATGGAGAATCGTCCACTGTCTTTCGATCAGTTTGAATTTGCCTTCAGAATTTTAGTCCCTTAACTGAGGAGAGGAATAAGGGCGAA